AGCAACGCGATGGTCCTGAAGGCAAGAACATGTGAACAAAATGGACTGCCTGCCATGATATGATGCCAGGCAAAGGTAAGCGGCATTGCAATAGTCCTTTTCTGCTGCGCAGAATTGCGTGTTTGCGTGACAGCCGCTGGCTGACTAAGGCTGTGCCAGGCAAATGCGTTGCAGAGCGCCGTGCGGAGGAGAAACTGCGCGGCCACAGATGAGTTGCGAAGTGCGGTGCGTCACCAATGCAATGGCAATGGCTCACGTAAGAAAATTCTGACCAAGCGCAGGTTGTGCAGTAGCTACAAAGGGCCGTCGACTCTGTTGCAGCACTACTTGCGTTGCTCTTCGCATTCGAAACAAAGACCGCAGAGGTGCTTCTTCTGGGCATCCTCCTTCAAAATGCTTGCCATGGGACGTACGCAGGGAGGTCTGCCATGTTGACACCATGACGCTGTGCACGTGATTGCGCAGGAGATGCATCCCTTTGCAGCTTTGTAAACTGGGTGTGCATCGCAAAGTGCTGTGCCTATCCACCTCACTTCTATTTTCACTTGTGTACTTGCCGTCCTCGAGCATTACTGGAGATTTGCTCGTTATGTGAGCTGCGTACCATCCAACAGATGGATCAAACGCGTTATGGAATGGATACCTCCTGGAAGTCGCGTTCGCGGCCGGCCTCGAAATTCCTGGGCCTCACATTTGGAAGTTTTCGCGCGTACTATGGGGTGGGAAGGGTGGATGGACCATGCAAAAAACGACACCAATTGGGAGAATCATTTTGCTGCTTTCCTCGCGTTTGTACAGCAATGATGTCCGAGCTCATGACGTCAAGTAGTTGTTGTAGCTTTGACAAGCGAGTGTTACAATGTCACTTGCTGTGTTGAATGTTTGCCTGCGCCCCAGAGGGGCTGCCTATCGGCTTGCAGGTCTCACTCACTCACTACTTGCCGTCCAATCCCCTGGTGGGGGGTGTGGGCAGTCACACGTTGCATTCCACGAGTCGGAGCCGTAGTGATCGTACCCATCATTGCTGTGCTTCCACCCATCGGCCCATGAGGAACTCCAGGATTGCGAGTACCAGTTGTCGCTGCGCTGCTGGTTGTGGTGCGCGGACTGAGACCTTGTAGATGCCTGGCAAGATCCCAACTGATCTGTGCGCTGTGTTGCATTGACTGTGCTGGGCTGTGCTGCAGGTGAAGCCTTCAGTAGCGGGCTCTGGGAGCCGTTTGTGGCTGCGGTGCACATTGCTGCGGCGGTGCGGGCAGCCAACCTGGGCACGGACACGCGCAGAACTGCGAGCCCATGCCGTGCGGCACAGAGAAATGCGGCGCCGGCGCCACCATCACTGTGCTTTGCGGGGGTTGCATCCCCAGTACTATGCGGTGCAACTTGTCAAACTGGTCCTGTGGCAAGCGTGACAGTGCATCACGGATTTCGGAATCCGAAGAAGATGCCAAGATATGCATCGCGGATGCAAGTGCCATGCTGCGTGGGACTGCAGGCGCAGATCACAAGAGCGTGAACACGGATACCATTGGCTATGAACCCGAGCTCGTGGAAAACAGGCAATGCTTGCAGTCGACACTACCCTCGTCTCGCCTCTGGACTCGGCGGGCCAGCCACGCCACCACCAACGACACACACAAGGAGCAGCCCTCGCCGAGCAAAGGAGCGGACCTACCCAGAGCTCCTCACGGACGCTGGAGCGAGGGAGCAGCACAGTTCCTCCGCCTCCTCGACCGTTGCCGGGCACGTGAGGTCCCCCCAGCACTTCGCGCCAGTGCCACTTCTGCGTGGGTAGGCCTGCGCTCCTCGCAGCCCGGGCGTTTGAAGCCAGCCTCCTCTCTCTCCCGATTGCAGGTACAGCCAACGTTGGTGGCCTGACGCCGGATCTCAGCGAGGTCCTGGCCGACGAGCGCTGGGAGGTCGCCCCTCCCCTCGCCAGCCGCCTACCGCTGACGTCCGGTCCCCGGTTTTTGGCCTGACGTTCTCAGGTTTACGGGTGCCGCTTCTGAACCCTGACTCTACTTCAACTTTCCAAGACACACTTTTTAAACCTAAGATTATGCCACCACGACGACCACGACGGCCACGACCACCACGACCACCACGACGACGACGACGGCGGCGGCGGCGGCGGCGACGACCAGGACGAGGACGAGGATGAGGACGAGGACGGAGGCGGCAGCAGCAGATACAGATGATGAGGCTGGATGAGGTGGGCGTTGTCTGTCGGGTGTTCGGTCGAAATTATCGCAGGAGGGATGGGAGCCCCAAGCTGCCATATGCCAGCCCACAGCACCTCGCGGTCTGCGACCTCGTGAGATCGCAGAGCCTTGCGCCGCTGGTGGGCGTGCCTGTAGAGGCTGATTCAAAGCGCGACTTTGAAGACCAGCCCGTTGATTTGTGTTGCTCCCGTGATGGCTGGGCGCACGTCTTCCGCTGACGCTCTGGCTGATCCTCTCTAAGGTGTCTCTGGTCCCTGGATAAACTTTCAAACATTCGTTCGGCGCGTTTCACAAGTCGGCCCGCTGCGAGGAGCTCACGTCATCACTTGCTGCGTGCCGGCGCCCGTGCATGACTTCGGGAGGCGTCTCGACGTGTCGACATAGCGGTTGCTACAGCGGGTTGTAGTGGGGACTCAAATTGCGGGTGCAACTGCGGTCATATACTAGCTGCGTGCTTTATTCTTTTTGCGCGAGGTGTGGAATTTGTGTCAGTGCTTGTTTCTTTTGCCTCAAGCAATAAGTTCTTCCTTCGTTAAGTTAACGCTTTATTCAAACGTGTGTACACTTTTCCAGTTGCAACTGTTCGCAGTCTTTCGGTTGCGCATTCAGGCTGGTGGATTTACGACTTGCTGCACGGTATGTATGTTGTAAAATTGTTGCGGGTCCGATTTGGTGGATGTTAGACATGCCATGTGCATGTTGCGTATTGCGAACACATGGGGGTTTACGAGAACACGGGACCCTAACATAGTCCACCACATGGTAGGCTTCCCTTAAAATCAGGATCCCAATCAGGTACCCCTAATATCGTAAGCCCCCACATCTGACTTGGTGGATGCCAGGCGTGCTGCGTCAATGTCATCTCTTGTGTGAGAGCTGCGGGTTGCGTTTTCAAGCGCGAGCTCAGCTATTTTTCTATTGCTTCAGGAGTGGCATTGCGGTTCTTGTTTTGGTCTGCAAAGACACTATCTTGTTGATTATCGTTTGATGGTTGCCGGTCATGCTGTGCGCATGCTTGCAAACCCTAACCCTAAACCCTAAACCCTAAACCCTAAAACCCTAAACCCTAAACCCTAAACCCTAAACCCTAAACCCTTCATCCAGCTTGTGGGATGCGTTCGTTGGGCTGTGGCCCCGTCCTGGGCCTTTGCACAATCTGTGCGGGATGACTGGTGATTATTGCGACGCGCCTTGCCCGCCTGTCCGTGACAGCTTGCGCAGTTTCTTGGCTGCTGCTTCTCCTTACGCCTACATGTGACGGCAACTTCTCGCAACTGCACAACAAGTCATGACAAGTCCAACGCGAGCTGCACGTTTGCAGCTTCGCGTCGAGCTGCTCCATTTTGCCATTTTGCTCCCAAACTTTTGGCGGATTCAGTTTTTGAAACCCCTCTCATGCATGGGCTTGTTGCCCGCGGTCCCATGTGCCGGATTCCGGGCCATACCGACGCGAGTAATCAATCTAGTAGCGGCGTCGCCTTTGCGTGCGTCATGGCTTTCACGGGCTTGCTCGAGGCCCTGGCTTTCAAGGGCTTACTCAGAGCCTTCCGCCGACCATGCAGGTCGGCAAGCACTCCGCGACGATGACTACATCGTTAGTCTTTGGGCCCATGTCTTCTCATGTTCCAGGCTTTTCTGCCTTTGGGCAGCAGTGATGGCCAGGGGCAGTATTCAAAGCGCGTGCTGCCCTCGTGGGCGAGCGGGCAGCTAGCACAAGAAAAACAAACCCCACGCCGGGCCACCGGGAGATAGTTACGGAAGTGGCGGAATCGGTTGCGACCTTGACATCTCGAGCGTTTTTGATGCGACCCGCTGCTTCAGCAGAAGCGTCGTAAAGAAGGCGCAAAGGGCAACACAGGAGACTTCCAAATTGCGCCGCCAGCTCACGCAAGGAGTCCTGAAGTTCAACCCACGAGTCCAGGTGGGCACAACTCTCGGCTTCAACCGACGCCTGTCAGTTCAGCGGAGATGGCCCAATTGCAAAGCACAGAGCAGGATCGTCACTGCAGGGCTGGTGCCAACGGGGATCTTGTCCACGAGGCGCCAACACTCAAGACCCGTGGGCGTCGTTTCTTCTGGTGCGGACATTGCCGGACCATGCGCCAGGAAAAATACCCTGCAGCCACAAGGGCTATGAAAGACTGTGATGAACTGCTATTCAAGCTTGTCAAGATGTGCCGTTCGGCAGGCCCACTCCCACTGATACCTGATACAGTCATGTACGTGGCACAAGCATGGCAGCCCCAAAACGTTCAGAAAGGCGACGGACATCATCAAGACATCGCCGCGCGACAGCAAGATCCTGTCCTTGTTGAGTTGCAGACCTCCGCCTGCTGCAGACGCATCCACATCAATACATCAACTACTACGTTCGGCGTCCCAACTGCCGTGCGGAGATCCTGTATAGTTTTGAATGTCGCATCGTGAGAACCTTGCCAGCTGTCGCACATTGCACGGCGGGTGTGGGCGAAAGTGGCCTTCGGAGCCGGGGCGAAAAGAATGCACTCTGTGCGGCATCGGTTGCTGTGCCACACTGTGCCCACCAACAGTTGCCGCGTTGCGCCGCGTCGCATTGAGGGATGACGTGCGCCTCTTGCCCGCTTGTGGTCCAAGCAGCCGCCTAATCGTGATCCAGCATCGTCGCATGTACGTCGGTTGCAATGAGTAAGTAAGAAGCCCATGGTTTGATTGATGGGCCGATGTCCTGCCGGAAGATTCAGTCGGAGGTTGATTCCCAAAACCTATAGACTCTTACTTATGAGATGTCTACCCCTCCAGTCACGACACAAGCTGCCCAGCCTGTTGTGAGCGGCTGTCCAGCAAGTCCAACCCGAATTGCCACAATCGATGTGGCTCCGTGGCATCAGCCAAGGCTTTCACCACCGACTCCGATGGGCGCAGGCCGGCCGACAGCTGCTTCGTGAGGACGTTTGACGCGACTTTCCAGGGCAGCGTTTGGAACACGGTGCTGCAGGATATGCTGTCGGGGGCCACCAAGCACCGAGTCATGTCGGAGAAGGAGCAATAAACGGCCTGCCAAGGCGCAGCTTTCGCTTGGGACCCCAACCTGATGTTGTGGCTGGCGGTGTCCAGCTCTACGTTCCAGGAATGCGCGGCCCGCATCAGAGCGAGGGTGGTGCGCCAGCGGACCGGATGGTCGAACCAGGTGCCGCTAGCAGTTCGGAGGCCTGCGCTCAAAGCAGCGGCCGAGTTGACTACGCTGGTCAGCCTCGGCTGCTTTTGAGGCAATTGGATGTAAGTTTACCAAACAAGGAAGCCATGCCATGCACTCTCTGCATACATACATCTATATATAAGTATATAGAAATTTATGTATGTATGTATGTATGTATGTATGTATGTATGTATCCGCACGTTTTGCGAGAACCGTATAGATAGATGCATATGTGCATACATATAGAAAAAATACATATGTATATATATATATATATCTACATATACATATATGTATATATATATATATATATTCACATATACATATGTATATGCATATGTGATACACATCTGTAGGGTGATCTCTTGGCTAAAGTTCCGGAACGGCAGCCCAGCAGCTGCTCTGCCGGCACTTGGCCTTGAGCGGCTTGGGCCAGCAGCGACAGGGCAAGTCTCCACGAAGGCAGGGCCGCGATCGTTGCCTTCGGATTGGGGTTCAGGGTTTGTAGGGTTTAGGGTTGAAAGGGGTTTAGGGTTGGAACTCATGTCCAAAAGCCCTCGTCTAAAACCCCTCCATGGATGTCCGAGGATTGGGCACTGTAGGTGATGCTGTCCGCCAAGCTCTCGGCGACAGCATCGCGCAGCCTTCGGCCACCCCCCCACCCCTGCGACTGGTCCCGGAAGCAGTTGCAACATCCTGATTTTGTGGAGCTGTTTTGCATGTTGTGGACAGCTGTCGAAATCCCCATTACGTGTGGCCACCGAGTATGCCAGTGCATGCACACAAGGATGCCCGCAAGCACCCCGCATCGCGAAAGAGTGCAGCATTCATCAACATGAGGCCCGGACAGACGGGCTGCTCGACGCCAGTTCACCCGACATCCGCCAATGGCCGAATTGTAGCTGATTGTGTCCTTCGGGCATCTTCGAAAAGAGCGGTACAATTCTGCAATTACATACCGAATTTGTGACACCTGCCTGCTCCAAACGGGCGACCGGGAAGTCGCCTAGCCTGGAGACAGCATAGCTTGTGCACGAGAGGAGCCGGATGTTTGGTAAATGCTGAAAACACCCGCACACCCGAAACGAAACATCCGATGTGTCTGAGGCATGCGCAGAAAAAGGGCGCGTCTCCATCCACCTGCTCTGGCAATGGCCTTGTTCGCGGTGACGACGTCTCTGGGACGACCCCCGCCGCTCATTCATGGGCAAGACACCATGCAAATGCACCTGTACAGGTGGCTGGCTATGCAAGAGAAAATGGTGCCACGTGCAGCACATGTGCAGAGGAGGTTTGCGGGCCGGGCAAGGTCATTCGTTGTTCAATCCTACCTGAGCTGTAGGGCGACATGGAGTTTCCTAAGAGGTGGAGAGTAGGCATGAACCATCTTTATGGATTTGCCACAGTTCCAAAGGCTTTTCGGACACCTGCGGGGCAACGGCAACAATCTGATCAAGCGTGGGTCACCCCGAAGCTTTCAACCCGCAAACTGTCTCAGACTTCAAAACGGGCTTGGGGTTGGGTTTGTATCCCCATGTACTCCCTAAACTCCCTAAAGCCCTAAACCAACTAAACCCTTCAACCCTAAAACCAAACCGCAGGCCCCTGAAGCCCTTCCACCCTCAAGCTGGAACTCAGCACGCGGACCTGAGCCGGCAAGGGTAACAGGATTGGCCTCAAAGGTTGGACTTCAGGGCGCTTGAACCCTCCCCCCCCCCTCAACGAAAAAAAAAACAAAAAACCCTTTAGCCTCTATAAGCCTTGAACCCCTCTAGGGTTGAGGGTTGAGGGTTTAGGGTTTATAAAAGCCCTAAAGACTCCTCCCACAGTTCTGCAGACTTTCCGCGCTGTTTTCGCGGAGGGCGACATGGCGGTGCTCGTGGAGAGGCCCGGTACCTGCCTGGATTTTGAAGCTGAGGGTGGGGGCTTATGGGGTTTTGGGTTTGGGGTTTGGGGTTAGGGGTTTAGGGTTGGGGGTTACATGGGTTTAGGGTTTCGGATTTAGGGTGGGCTTGACAGGTGGCTCTCAGGCCCTAGGGTTCCGGGTTCATGGTCTCGGGCTTGCACTTTAAAGTTTGGAGACCAACCTTTTTCCAGCCTTTGTGACACAGTTCGTTATGTCAGAGCCACTTCAACGTCGTCAACCAAGGCTTTACCCGCTGTCTAGAATGCCAGAATATCCCCAGACCCCAGACCCCAAAATGCACCGCAAAAGCCTGCGCCAAGAAAACATACCCAACAACATCCCAGGTTTAGGGTTTAGGCTTTAGGGTTTATAAGGTTTGGGGTTTAGGGTTTAGGGTTTAGGGTTTAGGGTTTAGGGTTTAGGGTTTAGGGTTTAGGGTTTAGGGTTTAGGGTTTAGGGTTTAGGGTTTAGGGTTTAGGGTTTAGGACCCCGAGACAGCCTTCACAATCGCTCCTGGGCGCCCTGCGGTGCCGGCATGCACACCGGGGCGCGGAAGAGGGCCAAAGGATCCGCAAGGCACCTCGGGCCAAAGACGCAACACCTAAGATGTCTACGCGCCACATCACGTATACAGATGGGTAGATGAAGAGCTAACCCCAAACCCTATAAACCCTTAAAGCCTAAAAGCCGAGACCCTAAACCTAAACCCTAAACCCGAAACCCTAGACCCTAGACCCTAAACCCTAAAGCCTAAACCCTAAACCCTAAACCCTCAACCCTAAACCCTCAACCCTAAACCCTAAACCTAACCTCCTACTGGGATGGCCGGATCTACAATGTGGCGTCAGAGGGTTTGGGGGCTTCAGGGTTTCAGAACCCCCAGGCCACGCTAAACCCCACAAGCCCTCAACTCGAATAAACACTACAACCCCTACAAACCCTACAAACCCTACAAACCCTACAAACCCTACAAACCCTACAAACCCCACAAACCCCACAAACCCCACAAAGCCTACAAACCCTACAAACCCTACAAACCCTACAAACCCTACAAACCCTACAAACCCTACAAACCCTACAAACCCTACAAACCCCACAAACCCCACAAAGCCTACAAACCCTAAACCCTTAACCCTAAACCCTAAACCCTAAACCCTCAACCCTCAACCCTCAACCCTAAACCCTGAACCCTCAACCCTAAACCCTAAACCCTAAACCCTAAACCCTACAAACCCTACAAACCCTACAAACTCCACTCTGGGGTTCCCAGCTCCTCTGGATGCTCCACCAGCCTGTCGAGGAGGAAATCGAAGCCCGAGCCTCGCAGGAAGGGCTGAGGGTTTAGGGTTTAGGGTTTAGGGTTTAGGGTTTAGGGTTTAGGGTTTAGGGTTTAGGGTTTAGGGTTTAGGGTTTAGGGTTTAGGGTTTAGGGTTTAGGGTAGGGTTTAGGGTTGAGGGTTCAGGGTTTAGGGTTTAGGGTTTAGGGTTGAGGGTTTAGGGTTTAGGGTTTAGGGTTTAGGGTTTAGGGTTTAGGGTTTAGGGTTGAGGGTAGAACTCCACGTGAGCATCTAGGCTTTGGGGGCAATTATGGAGTTAAGCGTTTTAAGGGCGTTGGGGCTTTTTTTTGGGGGGGGGGGGGGGGTTTAGGGCTCTCGGCCCACACACGCGCTCTTATTGGAGCCCTACCATTCTGGGAGGGGACCACCATGGCGGATTTCGCGATTAAGGCTTCGGCCAGAGGAGCCACCTAAACTTCGGCCACCCTCTTCATCTAACATGTTCCTTCAACGATATACCTCATTTCTTTAGGGAAAGTTCCAGAGCTTGCTCTGCCCCTAATTCGGGTTGAAGGTTTGGAGTTGAGGACCTGTCTTACTGAGGCTTCGACATTCGGAGGCCGGCGCCGTTTTCAACGCGCCGAGCTCGCAAACGACCTCGGTATAGTGTATAGGGATGATGTTGATCCGGCAAGGCATTGCCGGGTAGTATGGAAGGTCATATCAAGTCAATACAGGCTGTCGGCGCTTTGGGCTCTCGACTCCTTCAGGGTTGAAGTTTAGGTTTGAAGGTTCAAAGGTCAAAAGGAAGTATTGCAATAGCCTGAGCATCTGCAGCAATGTACAGAGCCCCAGCCCGTTTCAAGGTGATCCGTAGGGTCAATTGCATGTGTAAAGAACAATCAGCAGAAAGCATGCCTCTTCCCCCCCGCCCACAAAAACGCAGCATGAAACTCATCATTTTGGTCATCATCTTCGCACTAAACCCAAACACATAAACTCCCAAACCATGAAGCCGAAATCAGGCACCAAAACCCTGAGTTCAATTAAAGATGAGAGCCTGAAGCGAAAACACAAACTAGATGCTGCACGATAAGATTCCCCTATGAGACAGCTGCAACCTCTTGGATGTGTCTCTCAACCTTACCAAGCCTCTTCCTCCCTAAGCCCTAGCTCTAACCCTCACAAACCCGTACAAACCCCAAATCTCCCCGAGGCCCGTGGCCGGCGAGATCATTGCCTCTCTCCAAGGGGCCGGAGAGGAAAGGGTTTAGGGTTCAGGGCGTAGTCCTTTAGGGTTTAGGGTTTTGGGTTCTTAGGATTATGGAGGGGTCTGCAGATGGTCGGGGTTTGAGCTGAATTTGGGGTTTAGAATTTGGTGCTCAGGGTTTGTTTAGGAGTTTTCGGGGCTACGGGCTAGGATTTAGGGTCTTAAGTACAAAACGGCAATCCTAAACCCTAAACCCTGGTTTGGAGGAGTCGAGGCGTCGGAACTTGGGCTTCTCATGACCCGAGGCTTAAGATGGCATCCCTATCTTGGCTTCGCAGAACCCTAGCGCCTAGGGTTTGGGGTTCAGGGTGTAGGTTTAGGGTTTAGGGTGCAACTCATCTTGCCAAAGACGTGCCGGAATGACCGCGATGCCATCAGCGAGGTCTTCCTTCTCCTTCTGCTGTCTTGGCACGCCCCTTGCGACGCTGGTCGTGAGATAAGAATGCGTACAGGATTCCGGGTCATGAGGGTGGGAAGATTAGAAACCAGCCTTTAAGCAACCCTCAGTGCCCTCCCTAATTGCAAGTACCGAAACCACCCTAAACCCTAAACCCGAAACCCTATACCCTAAACCCTAAACCCTAACCCCTAAACCCTAAACCCTAAACCCCAAACCCTAAACCCTAAACCCCAAACCCTAAACCCTAAACCTTAACCCCCAATTTGGCCTCCCGGGGTCTTGGATGCCACTCCTCCCTCCGGCCGCGAGCTCGGCCAGGCGCCGGCGCCTGGAAGATGGAAGGGTAGGGCTTGCAGGGAGTATAGGATGTTAGGGTTTAGGGTTTAGGGTTTAGGGTTTAGGGTTTAGGGTTTAGGGTTTAGGGTTTAGGGCTACGGCGTACAGGGCTTATAGGGCTTTAGGGCTGTAGGGTTTGAGGGTGTTGAGGGGCTTGAGGGGTCTGCGGCTTTTGTCAGGCTTGCAGTTCCATGCCACCCAAAACCCAAGCAAATTGACTCCAAGCATACATTCAACAAAACCCTAAACGGAGCATTCAGGGAGTTTCTGCGGATTGTCTGGGCCCGGGATGCTTCGCTCGGGCCTCTAGGCTTCGAGACCGAGGGAATAGGGCAAAAGGACTCAGTCCTCAACCCTGAACCTTCAACCCTGAACCCTCAAACCCACAACCCGACACCGTGGACTTCAAGGAATAAGGGAATAAGACTCCCTCCCCCTCCCCCCCCCCGCCGCCCCCAAGAAACGAACCCTCAAGCTTCCAGTTCGCCATGCCGTGGCAGCATGACAAAAACTCGTAGTCGATACACGAGGTCACTAGGTCCACTACCTTCATCCAAGTTGTGCGGCAACAGACCTACAACACCCTACTCAAAAAAAATGAATACGCTTTTTCTGACTATCCGGATGAGTTTCATTATCATGATTGGGGATGTTCCCCCTTATACCAACACTCCTCAATCGGGATTATAATAGGAGGTACTATACTCCCTGTTAAGGACTGTTAGCATGAGGGGGTTTTTCCCAAGTCATGACCATCCAGGGAAGACAGCCTTCCCGGGGAATGGCCATCTGGGCCCGGAAATGGCAGAAGCTGCGCGGGGGCAACGAGGGGCGTGCCCCGCTGGAAGTCCTTGTCAGATTTCTAGGCTCCCTAAACCCCAAAACCTAAACCCTGAACACTAAACACTAACAGTGCAAAGGGAGGAAGGTCTTGGGGAGAGCTGATATGCGCCAGCATTCACGTACCCTGCCCCTCATCTGTGGCTGGTTTAGAGTTTAAGGGTTTCCCTCCCTCCGCCCCCCCTCGCTCCCCCGCCCCGCAGGTGGTTCACGGTTTAGGTTTTGGGCTGCCACCCCCACACCCCCCAGTACCGGTTCATGGTTGGTTTGAGGTGGTTTGGGGTGATGCTGAGGGCTGAGGGTCAGGATCAGAATTTCGTGGCCTATCCCCCCTTGTTTTTCGTGTTGGGTGCGGGGGGGAGGTACCATGGGGGTGGGGTGGGGGGGAAGCCTTTTACCATAAGGGGGACGGAGAGGTAATCTGGCAAGGGGTTTCGGGGCTTCCCACGGCTTCTTGTGTTGGGCTTTTGGGGGGGTTTTGGGTTTGGGGTTTAACTGCAAGGCTTTACAACTTTTAGACTCAGGGTCGAAGTCTAGGATTCAGGGTGTGCAACTTGCGGGCGCCCAGCAGCAGAAGGACCCTCCACACTCGGGTTGAAGGTTTGGGGTGGGCCTGGGCTTTCTGGCCCTGAAAACTAACCTCCCTAACATCCCCAAACTGCCTAAACCCATTGGGCCCTGCGCCCTTAGCCGCACACGAGTGGCCTTGACGCTGACCATCCTCGGCGAGTACCCGGCATCTGGATGCCCTCGGACAGGATAGGCCAAACCGGGCAGGGTTTGAGGTTCAAGGCTTGTGGTATGACAGTCGGGTTTAGGATTTTAAGTTTGAGGATTTAGGGCTCTGGGGCTTTGGGATTTCTCGAACTCGCCTCTACCGAGTGAGAAACTTCCACAGGGCAAGACCGTCAAGCTCAAGCCCCGCCGATAACTCCAAAAACTTTGACACTAGCTGCGCCAGGAACAAAAAAGCTAGAACTACTACCCCCCCATACCCTCAACCAATTACCCTAAACCCGTACAAGAAAACAACCCTGAACCCCTCCAAGCCCCAGAACATAGGTTTGTGCAGACGATCCTGCAAGTCTGTGAACTTGGGCAACCTCATGAAGCCAGAAACCTCGAACCCCATACCCTAAACCCCTAACGCTATATAAACCCTAAACCCTAAATCCCAAACCCCAAACCCTAAACCCCTAAACCCCAAACCCTGAAGCCAACCCCTGGCCTCCCACCGCGCGGGCCGCGGCAGAGGGCGAGGGCGACCGGTCTCCCCGTCTTGGGGAAGCTGACCTGGTGGTTTTAGGATTTAGGGTTTAGGGTTTAAGTACCGTTTGGGTTTTCGGGGGATCCCTAAACCCTAAGCTTAGACCCCGAACCCTAAACCCTAAATCCCAATAACCCTGAACCCTATAAACCCTACACCTTGAAATGATCTTCAGAGGCTGCCATGAGTATCAGAAAACTCTGAGAGAAAAAAAGGCTCATAGGGCACCAGTGGGAATCCTAGTTAAGCCCTCCGGCCGCGACGAACTTGACTGGCGGCTGCCTGCCGAACCTGGTGTCGAAGGCAACGGCCCTATCAGTTTAGGGTTGAGGCTTTGAGGTTTGAGGGCTCAGGGTTTGAGGGTTTAGGGTTTGAAGGGTAAGGTTTGAGGGTTGAGGGTTTAGGGTTTGTTGTCGGGTTCCAGCCCTTCTTGCCAACACACCCCCCCCCTCTTCATGCTTAAGCCTAAACACGAAAGCTAGATCCTCCCTGGTGGCTGTACACGCTGGATCCGAAAGGGCCTTCGGTGCCGCCCCCCACAAAGTAAGTGGGGCACCCTTTCCCCCCAAGAGTTTAGGGTTTAGGGCTCATGGTTTATGGTTTAGGGTGTCGTTTAGGCTGTAGGGTTAGAGTTGAAGCTAAACCACTTCCCATCACCAGGAGGATTCTTGGGTTCAAGGTTGTCCTGACACACCCAGAAACCCAAGTCCACCGTGCCCACCCCCTCAAACAAACAGAAGACGATGCATTGCCCCCTTACACTTCTATTTCCAACCCCCCACCACCCGCCACCCCACCACCCCACCACCTCCCTCCCCCGACCCCCCCCCCGCCCCAACCCCTTACACCCTAAACCCTAAACCCTGAACCCTGAACCCTAAGCCCTAAGCCCTAAACCCTAAACCCTAAAGCCTAAAGCCTAAACCCTAAACCCTAAACCCTCTCAGAAACCCTACAAACCGCCTACAGGCAGCGCCGCGAGGCTGCTGGAGGTGGACGCCTGGAGCGCCTTTTGAGGGTCTCAGGGAGGCTGAGGGGTAGTCTCAGAGGGCCCTAGGCTTTGGAATTTAGGGCTTAGGGTTTATAGGGTTTAGGGGTTTATAGGGTTTAGGGGTTTATAGGGTTTAGGGTTTAGGGGTTTAGGGGTTTAGGGGCTTAGGGCTTAGGGTTTTGGGTTTCGGGTGTCGGGTTTAGGGTTTCACTTGTTTTTTGAAGAGGTTGGGGGGGGAGTTCAGAGTTGCGACGCAAGTTTCTACAGCATGCGTGCTTACACTTTCGTTGCCTTAGAAACCGCTAGCTAAACCCTCAAACATCCTGAGATCCTCTGCCCCAGAACCACCGAAGCCTTGGATTGAGGGTTCTTGGATTTGGAGTTCTGGGGTTCTCGGATCTAGGATGCAGGTTTAGAGGGTAGAGGGCAGAGGGTTTGGGTTTAGGATGCCCTGAGCCCCCGACTGCGAAGAGCTCCCGGGCAGACCCACGGTACTTCGGAGCCACCTCACCAGGGAGAACACAGGAGCAGCAACAAAAAAGACCCTAAACCCCTTAGACCCTAACCTTAAACCCTAAACCCTAAACCCCCATAAGCCCCTGAAGCGTGGGATGTTCCCCCTTTATACTAACAGCCCTTGATTGGGATTGGAATGGGGGCACTATAGTCCCCATTCAGGTCTGCTAGCATAAGGGGGAACAGGTCTGTTACTACAAGGGGAAACATCCCAACCTAAACCCTAAACCGGCGGAGGTTTTTGTTTGAAAGGTGTGGCTCGTTCTTTTTTAGGCTTGGCTAGGGTGGCCGGCGGCTTGTTCCCCACCCTCGGTGTGGGGTTGTTAGATTTCAATTAGATTTCAAACTCAACTCTTCTCCTCGCCCGGAACTAACTAACTTTTCTCCTCGCCCGGAACTAACTCTTCTCCTCGCCCGGAGTGGCCAACCCCAGAGTGTTCAACCTGGAGTGCCCAACCCCACTGTGTCCCTGGCGTTCCCAGCCCCAGAGTGTTTCTGGAGTGCCCAGCCCCAGACTGGAGTGCCCAAGCCCAGAGTGTCCTTGGAGTGCCCAACCAGAGTATCTCTACAGTCTCTACAGCGAGGGTGGGGATGTTCGAAGTAAAACAATTCTTTTTGCGAAGGTGTGGTTTGGCTCTGGAATAGCATCTTGCTCCTCTCGCCTCGGCCGGCCCTAAGTCGACCACGCGCCACACCTTTCAAAGATGCCGAGCCACACCTTTGTAAAAAGGAACTGGGCCCCCCTAGACCCTGAACCATACAGCCTAAACCCTACACTTACACCGTAAACAAGGGCTCTCTTACTTCTCCAATACCGAACTTTACTTTCACAAGAGAATGGCAAACCCAAGAAGGTCTAAATCCAACAGGGCTTTCTTCAGTTGCCCTCCCCCCCACCAAAAACAAACTCCTCTGGCCTGGACTCGGACCCTAGACCCCAACGATACGGAGAGACCCAAACCCCAACACCTCAAAGCAACTCAACGCCGAAGAAGCGAGGCAATACTCTTGCGCAAAACAACCCAAAATGACAACGTTTAGGGCTTGTAGGCTTGAGGGTTTATAGGGTCACAGGGTTGATAGGGTCGTAGGGTGATAGAATTTAGGGTTTGGGGTTTAGCCCTCAAGGTACCCAAAGACAGATCCGGCACACCCGCCTCGGAGACCTGATGCGGCTGCCTCGGGCAGGTTGTCTTTTTGCAGCACCAGGGGTGTGGGACTCTTGGGAGTGTAGGGTTGATATTGAAGAGGTGGAGGCTTTATGCTTGACAGAGCCTAGGGATTCTGATGACCTGGTCGTAATGGAGAGGATGCCCGAAGAAAGAGCTGCAGGTCGCATGGTGAGTCCTTGGGAGACTGTGCAAGAACTGCGTTCAGGATTCCTCTCTCTTCTTCGACCGGAATATGGCTTGTATGGCAACAAGTCCCCCAAACCCTCGATCAACCTTATAACCCTGAAAGCACTTTTGAACTCTAAACCCCTAATCAACCTCCAAACGCTGAACACCAAACCGCGTGTTTCTTGTCACGATGAAATGGTATTCTCAAAATAGGGTCCGCCCTAGTATACCCCAGAATACTCTAATCCTGATCATCGGAACCCCCAAAAAGGGTACCCCTATTTTCGGAAGCCCCCCAAATGATCCCTGCACCCAAAACCTGCAAGAAAAGTCGTCAAGGCCCCGGACACCGTGAGCTGGACCCCAGGCGTGACCACACCTGGCTTTGGGCTCTTTAGGGGATCTTAGAAGGTCTCTCGGGTTCGGAGCGTCAGGCGTCAAGGGTTGAAAGTTTCGTGCAAGTTTAAGGTTTCTAAGGGTTTAGGGTTTAGGGTGGCGAAGCCTGGGGTGAGGGACGATGGCTTCTGGACGACAACGAGGGGGCATTGTGACGACCACTCTAGGGTTCATCCTCGGAATGGTGGTCTCCCAAATTGTGGAGCCCCTTTATGAAGGGGGCCTACTTGTCATGGGCACACCGGAAGGGACCATACTTTTGGAAACTACCGTTGGTGAGAATAAAGCACAAATGAAACCTGCCGGAAAGTGAGATCGCGAGTGCGAAAAAAGCGACACGGCATGCGGCAAAAGTGAGAAGACAGTAAGGAACAACACGAAAGAATGTGACACAGCAGCAGTTGAAATGAGCTCTCAACTCCCCGAACGCCCTCAACCCCCATCCCCTCAAACCCCCTTATTCCCCAGACCCCCTAAACCCCCTAAACCCCCCGAACCCCCCGAAGTCCGGCCCGCTGCGGCCTAATCCCGAGCTGGCCAGGTCTGCGCCCGGCACCGGACGCGAGGGAATGCCGCCTCTCTTCTTGGTTTGGGGTTAAGGGTTTAGGGTTTAGGGTTTAGGGTCTAGGGTTTAGGGTTTAGGGGTTTACGAGTTAGACTTCATACAGCTTAGGGAGGCCTTTGACTGTTTCCTTTCGCCTGTTTTGGTCCGGGGAGTTCGGGTTTGGGGTGTTTAGGGAACTCAGACTGGAGCATCGATCTCGAACAGCTTGCAACCCTCCCTTAGCACCTCCTTACATCCTGAACCCTAAACCCTAAAACCCCAAACCCGAGACCCTAACCCCTCACCCCGCACCGCGCCTACCGCCTTCAGCATCTGCGAGGACTCCACGACAGAGGCAGCCAGCGAGCTAGCCGAGCGCTCGAGGAAGATTTGGTGGTCACCCCGTACCTGGCAAGGGGTTTAGGGTTTAGGGTTTAGGGTTTAGGGTTTAGGGTTCAGGGTTTAGGGTTGAGGGTTTAGGGTTTAGGGTTTAGGGTTGAGGGTTTTAAGATTACACCCCCTCCAAAGACGACCCAACCATCGAAGCTCTCAACGCACACAAACTTCCTAAGCCTCATCCCTTTACCCTGACGCCTCTATATCTTCAACCCTAAAACCCTAAACCCTAAATCCTCAAACCTCAAAACCTTAACACCCTAAGACCCTAAACCCTAAACCCTAACCCCTAAACCCTGACCCCAAACCCTAAACCCCAAACCCCAAAACCTTAGAACCCTAAACTCCTAAACCCCCTAAACCCTAACCCTAAACTCCCAAACCCCCAAAACCCTACACCCTAAACCCTAAATCCTGAACCCTAAACCCTACACCCTAAACCCTAAACCTAAAACCCCAAAACCCTAAACCCCAGAAACTAAACCCTAAACCCCCAGAAGCCTCGGAGGAGCCGCCTTTCTTCCTTCGCAGGCGCTGGGCTTCAGGGTTCCTTTAAACCCTCGGAACCCCAGTCACCAAACAAGCCATACCACACCCTTTGGGGGGGGGGGGGGTTTTAGGGTTTAGGGTTTAGGGTTTGGGGTTTGGGGTTTAGGGTTTGGGGTTAGACATCATCAAACCCTCTAAGCCCTGGACCTGAATCATCGCGACACCCAAAGAAACCCATACCCTCAACAGATCCGTACTTCAACCCCAAACCCTGAACCCTGAATCCTAAACCCTCAACCCTAAACCCTACACCCAAACATTAAACCCTCAACTGCCCTAAACCCCCTCTACCCATGTCCTTGGCATGCTCTGAAGCTTAGCTCGCTCGCCATAGCCACCCCCAAGCGGCCGCATGAGGCACCCAAAGGGAGGAGGAACGTTGGGAAGGGAGGCGAAGGGGGTTAGGGCTTACAGGGCTTGAGGGCTTGGGGTTTTCATCTGATTGCTGTTTAGGGCCCCCTTTTGTACCCCATGGACCACTGAGGCCGGGGAGATGCTAACCGCATGTTGTGTCAACGACTGCTGCGGCTTGTGCCTCAGGTTGGGGAACCGAGAACAGCCAACGGTTAGAGATAGAAACCAACCTCTCAACCTGGCAAATCTGAGGTGCTGCGCTGGCTACGCTACCCCTTGAGGCCAGGTGCCCTCTTTTGAACTCCGGGCGCTGGAATCCGCTGGAATGGCAGCATCTCCCTTCGTTAGCAGGGCTTCGCTTGACGCTTCGGTCTGAAAGCCGGGACGCACGGCGGGTTGTATGCCTTACTCGGGAGGTCGGCGTTGTCCGCGTTGTCGGGTGACAAGGAGCACTCCAAGTCTGCTTTGGCCGTGGCCGTGACGGCAGTGGTCGCCCAGGATCTCAAGGTCGCCAGCGCCAGCTTCTCGGTCTGCGACGTCTGCGACGTCTGCGACGTCGGCTCCTGGCAGCTCCAGGACCGCGCAGGCTCCACGGGCTCCACCTCTCGCGCCTCCTTCACTTCCCGCGAATAGGGCTCCTTGGGCTCCTTGCTCTCGATGCCAAGGCTGTCCCAGGTCAGCCACTTGATGGCCAGGGTCTGATCGCTGCGGCGCCGCTCGGCCAGCCGAGGCCCAGCAGAACAGGGCCGTGCACCCAGGCCGACACCGCCCACGGTTTTCGGCCGCAGGTTCCGATCCAGGGAGCTACTTAGGCTCGGGCTGCTCGGAGCAAGGAAGTCCGCCAGGCGTCCAGTTCCCGATGCCGGGCTCTTGGGCAGGGGGGCGAAGTAAGCGGCAGTCGCCCCACTTGCAGTCGGTGGCGCCTCTGCACTGATTTGAGGAGCCCCCTCTCGCTCACCTGGCCGGGACTGCAGCACACAGCTCCCTGCGTGGCGGATGTGTGTCGCACGACCAGGTGGCGGAGATATCACACCTGGCGGCGACAGGGCGAGAGAACAGCTACATTCTTGAAAATCGCGTAGCCAATATCTTACTGTTGCTGCGACTGTTGTGATTGTACTAAAAACCTACTTGCTGAGTACCCTGGGCCACAAATGCTTAACCTTCAAATTACGGTAGGATTGTACATCCCCACAAGGTTAAAAGGCTACCCCTAAACCCTAAACCTTAAACCCTAAACCCTAAACCCTAAACCCTAAACCCTAAACCCTAAACCCTAAACCCTAAACCCTAAACCCTAAACCCTAAACCCTAAGGCAACATCGTCACATGTACGGAGGCCCACCCTCCTCCCTTCAGGTGCAAGTTGTGCTTTTCTGAATTGCAGCGCTCAGCAATCGTTACTCATGACGTCCCGGCCGCCACGGGGGTTGGTGGGTGGGGGCAAGAAGCCTGCACCAGCCTGTATATCAGGCCATCTCGGCCCGAAAAGGCTTCAGCAGGTACATTTGATGCCCACCCCCCCGGCCCAAACATGTTTACTCTTATGCCCCACAATCCTTTCAGGTTTTGCGAGGCAACATCGTCACATGTACGGAGGCCCACCCTCCTCCCTTCAGGTGCAAGTTGTGCTTTTCTGAATTGCAGCGCTCAGCAATCGTTACTCATGACGTCCCGGCCGCCACCTCCGACCCAGACTGGCTTGCCGCGGCCACGATTTTTGAGCATCTGCACTTTCCGCACTTGGAGCGGGGGGAAGGGGACATTGTCAATGTAAAATGTGAGCTGCCTCGTGCGAATGGCCACCCGCATTTGGTCCTCCAGCTTGCCGACGGGCCATCCATTGAAGCCAGGTTCAGTAGGTGCTGCACCTTAGAACGTCCATGACTGAAGACCCACTTGGGCGACAGCGCTGTTGCTGAGACCGGTGGTTGGGCGGATAGCACCGGCTCTGGTGCCGGCTTGTCCTCCACCACGCCGGCAGCTTGGCGGCGCTGCTGTCTGCAAGGAAGCGTCCCGGCCTGGTTTGCAGGAAGTCGGCTCAGAGCTTCCTCCGCGTAGATGTACACCACGCCGGAGTTCCAACGGCCTAAGAAAGCGATCTGTGCCACACTCATCCCCTTGGTCGCGTAGAGCATGGCCCCGCTGCGGCGAGGTGAGTGGCCTTGCACGTCTTTGCCCAGCGAGTTGGACCACGACTGAGCTACCGTGGCCTTTGGTGGCTTCCTTCCCTCTGAGTCTCGCAGCACAGGTGTGTTTGTTGCGGTGGAGCCGGGCCATTGTAGCTCATGCTTCATCTTCAGCTTCTTTATCAGCTCGACAGGGCACTTGGATTTGCGGCTCTTGCAAGTGCAGCCTAAGGTTCTCGTTGCCCCTTGTGCTCTTTGGTCGACCTTGCTCGACTTGATGAACAGGGAGACCAACTCGTTTTGAGCGCCGAAGAACACATCCTCCCAGGTGAGCTCCTCCAACTCTATGCCTCTTAGCATGAAGACAAGGGCCAGGGCGTAGGTGAGGTAGGGGAAGGCCACTTCGTTGGGAACAAGCTCCCTGGACTTCCCCTTGGCATCGAAGTCCTCTAGCTGGGCTTCCGGCGCTCTCCGGGCCGGCCCGGCGTTGCGGTTCAATGACCTTTTGGCGAGCTCTAGAGCGCGCCTCGCCGCAGTGGAGATGTCCATGTCCAACTCGAGCTGAATCATCTTGAGCTCCGTCAAGTAGGACTTTGCCGACTTAAAGCCAGCAACTTTGAGTGCCGCCGAGAAGCCATGGATGGTGTCCACGCTGAGGGGAAACGGAGGGCCTTTCGCCACCCTCTCTGCCAACTGAAGAGCATCTTGTCTTCGCCTCGTGTGCGGTGCTTGGTTGGACTTTGCGTAGAAGCCCTCTCGAAATGCGTTGATGGCCCCCTTCAACTTGACCTCGTCACCGGCAACTTCGAGTGCTATTTGGAACTTGGTTTTGGAGCTGTTGCTTGGAGTTGCGGGTATTGCCAGGTCTTGTCGAGCAGCACGGGGAGGATTACAGTCTGGATCGAGATGTGTGCCCCGCTCACCGCCAGCCTTGGCCGTGCCCTTGGTCGGGAGGATGCCTCCCAAGGGCAAATGAACTTTGCCCAGAGCTTGCGTGACGTGCTTCATGATCCGGCTGCCCATTTTCTTCCTATCGCCCGTTCCAAATGGGTTTTGGGTTCGGCTTCCACTCCGTAGCCGTAGCCCTTGGCCGGCCTGAGTAGCTGCCATGGCGGTGTTGAGCTCCCGCCTCCGAAGGTGCTCAGAGGGCCCATGTTTGTTGAAGCCGGGTATGCTCCACCATGTTGCGCCGTGGCCTCTTGTGCAGCTGAGCGGCGCCGGAGGTGATGAGCTTGATCCCGCGCCGCGCCCGGCGGAAAGAGCTGCGAGCTTTGAAGTCCATGTTGCGGAGGTTGCGCTGGGAGCCGCGCCGGGAGCTCGAGGGACGGGCCCCTGAAGGACGGGGCCTCTTGTGGAGACTGTGGCCTGTGGCTTTGATGCTGATGCCCCGGCCCTAGGTTTGGTGGCTGTTGCCCTGGATCTTGACCTAGAATTCGCCCTCGATCTGGAAGGCGTCCTTGGCGTTCTGGGTGTTGCCATCCAGGAGCGGGACCTGGAAGTTGCTCTTGGCCTCGATCTGGACGGCACCCTTGGCGTTCTAGGTGTTGCCATTCTGGAGCGGGACCTGGAAGTTGCTCTTGGCCTGGAAGTTGCCCTCGGCGTCCTGCTCCCCATGTTCGATCCCTGTTTTGCACCGCCTGATCCACCACACTGAGTCCTCGCGGTGTTCCCCAGCAGCAGCATTGAAGGATCCACACGGCCGCGCATGGCAGGGTGAGCAATGTCCATGCCGCGCAGAAGAGGAGGAGCCATTCGGACAGGTAAAAGTCCGATGGGGGGTCTTCCCCCTGGTTAAGTTGGTTTGCCACCACGATCTCCATGACTGCCAAATTTCAGAACAAGTCCTGTGCAATCAGTCACAAACTCTGACAAGACGTATGGATGCATCGCACGGATGTCGGCAAGAGAGAAAGAGAGAAAGAGAGAGAAGGGACAGAGAACTGCGGAGAGAAAAAAGAAAAAAACAATTCTGGAGCCACAGAGGCATGGACCCCCGTACTCAACCAGGAACCCGAAAGGAAACTTAGTACAGAGAACAAGACTGACAAAAAGGAGGAAGATGCAATGCGCTCGGTAAATCCCTTGTTTGCAGGTTGCGCTGGTTACAAGAGATCCTGCCAAGCTGCTGTGCACCCTGTTCGAATTTGAACATCTTGGCGTCGTTCTCGGTGACCGGGTACTCGAAGGCCTGGAGGATGACCCAAGGCATGTGCTTGTTTGTTCTGGATAAGAGGATGCCACCGCACCCCTGAGGAGACGCATCCGTGATGATCATCAAGGTCTCGGGCAGAAGCCAGAGCGGGCACTTGGTGGTAGGGGCGGCCTTCTGCAACAGTGCCACCAGCCAAGCGTGCGCCGCCTCGAACCTTTTCAGTGGCACCAGGTGGTCCTTGGCTCTCCGGTCTCGCCTTAGTTCTCGGCGTTCTTGTTCCCGGCCGCTTCGAAGATCACGCTGATGATCCGCCAGCGCAGCGTACATGGAAGCTACGGCCCATCTGGCTCTCTTATAAATGCCGGACATCCAATTTGCCTTGCCGGTCACAGTGAGGAGGTCCTTTTCCGGGATCATGCCCTTGTGGGTCCAGGAGGAGAGCTTCTCCAGGAGCTCGTCACGTAGCTTGTCTGGGAGACTTTGCAACAGGCAGCCTTCCCTCCAGCGGATGGAGAAAGAAACTCCGATCCATGTAACGGAGCTCCCGCGGGCTCCCTTCTTCCACGACATTCTCACTCCCAGGGCCGCTAGTGTCAACAAGGCCAGCGAGAGGTTGCGGGTTCGCCGCCGAAGAGAACCAACCAGCATCCAGAGGGGGTCGTCAATGTATGTGGATAACTGAACTTCTGCCTTCCAGAACAGGGACTGGATCAATCGACTGAGCAATGCGCTGAACCGGCACATTATCAAAGGAGCTGACTTGTGCCCAAAGAAGAGTGCCAAGAAGACGTAGACGTAGCCGGGCTCCGCTGGACTGACGCAATTGCCCAGCTCTCCTTCCGCCACAGGGAAATGGGTGAAGGCATCGGTGAAATCTCCGGCGGCGAACTCGGCGGCCCAATCGTCGAGTTCGCGCCCTTCAGCTCGACAGCGGCGGAGAAGCTGGGGTTCCAAGGCCTTCATGTCGCGGAGGGAGTGGTGCACGTCGGACGGCTGGGGCAGGACGATTCTTTCCGGGCACTTGGCTCGAGCATTGGCGCCTGATCGTCTCGCATCGACGATCACCCGCCGTTTCTTTGTACCATCAGCCCGAGTCTTCACGATGAGTCCCAGTTTTGACACCACCGGGTTTTGAAAGTACTCCTCGGCTCTCTTCACCGGGAGTTTCTTCACGAAGCCTAGTCCTTGAAGACGAGACATCTCCTCTCCGGCGTCCTCCGGGGCCCCCACGAAGCTGGTGTAGTTCCTGTCCTCCCACGCCGAGACTGCGCACTCCGACTCCACGTCGATGTTCCCGTCGTCCTCCTTCGGAGGGAAGATGTTACAGACCTCCACGGTGTTGTTGGCTCCCAGCGGGGCACCCTTCTCCAGCCATGTAGCGACATGTTTCTCTGGGTCATTGCCCCGACGGCACCACGCGTTGAGAAGTTCGGTGTGGACCGGGGACTTGTAATGGAGCGCGGGCTTTAGTGTCACAGACTCCCCCCGTTGCCCGACGTTGAAGAACTTCTCGAGCTCGGCGCGCCAGGTCTCCACCAGTTCCGTGTCCAACTCGAAATCTGGGCTCCCATATTCAGCGGCCGCCCCGTTGAGCTCTGGCTTCTTGGAGGCGACCTGGTCGAACAGCTCGTCAATTCGGAGGCCCAGTGACCTCATTCCTGGAGAACGTTCAAGTGACCATATGGGCCTCTTCAGCCCGCCCACTGCGGTCTTGTTCTCTTCCTCCCTGCGCTTTCTTTTCGAATCCCTGGCTTTGAGCTGGCCGAACTTTCCGCCACCCCCTTGCCATTCCGCTTCGGCAACCCCGGCAAAGCCATCCTGTCTAGCCCCGGGTCTTGGTGAGGAGGTAGTAGGCGGCGGCCTTGTCGGCGCCGTGGATGATGTCGAAGTGGATGCCGTGGGAGAGACCGATATGGGCGCCAAGGGTGAAGGCAGGCTCAGAGAAGAGGGCCTAAAGTTGGAGCTCCTGACCCACGTCTCCACGACCAGCTTGGCGTACTGCCTGCAAAGCTCCCTGGGATAGGCTGCTGACCCCTTGGAGGCTGTTTCGACCACCGGTGAATGAACGGCTCCGGGTGGGCAGGCACAGCATCCAGAAAGTCGATGTAGCCCCCGGAGCCGGCCGGCAAATCTGCAAGGTTTCTTGTGTTTTGGCTCGTCGCCTGTCACATACTTGCACATGTTGAAGTCGGCGAATTCTGTTCCCGCCCTTTCTGTCCAACGGAAGACCTCGGGCAGGTACCAGGCTGAACCCGCCTGGCTGTGCCCTGTCTCCGGGGGATTCTCCACGGTGGTTGGTTTCTCGAAGCCGGGCGTGGCACTCTTTTCGATGTCTGTGAGGATCTCGGTTGAAGCAATGGCGAACCAGGAACCTTCATCGGCTTCCCGCTGTTCTTGCGGAGTGTTGCCCGGGAGGCCGTAGATGTGTGCCCGGGAGCGAACCGGACCTGGGTACCCCGGCGCCACCCTCCATCTCAGTTTCGAAAAGGTGCTGCAAGGAAATCCCGAGTGGCCCCCAGCATAATGTCCCGTTCTTGCCTTGGCTCTGATTTGGGCCGCTAACTGAGGGCATCTCAAGTCGTGCCCCTTGGCCAAGTCATAGCCTTCCGTCTCGACCACGATGCCCTGCTCCTTGCCGGCTTTTGCCAACTCTTCGGCGAGGATGTCCACGGGGCCGCAAAACAAGTGCAGAAAGACGAAGGACATGGATGCACGCCAGCTGCTGGCCATGACTAGGCGCGCGCCGACTGGGCCGCCTGCCTACTGGCACACATGGTAGCCTGTAACCGTCTTGCGCCAAGGCGCTCCCGGCAACGGCCACCAATGCAGCAAGTGTACTGACATGTTTCACTGGCAACAAAGGTGTAGCCACACACACACACACACACACACACACTGACATGCTGGTGCCCAAGAAAGAACAAATTTTGCGCACATGTCCTCGTGAATGCAACTCACTTCTGGGGGCACTCGGAGCTCCTATGGCCCGGGCTCAAGCAAATCCTGCACTTATGCAGACGAACAACCTTGCCCTTGCATGGCTGGCCTGGCGCTATGCTGGCGCAGGGCCCTTTGGCTGCGTCCCAACCGAAACACAAATCCGAACCAGCTTGGTCCTTAGATTTCAAGGCATTCTGCTTAGGCTCTCTGTGCTCAGCAAGGTTAGACTTAGCGCTAGCCCTAAGAGCTTTTAGCTCTTCTTTCTCAGCAGCGATCTTCCTCTTACGAGATGCCCGCCTGTCCTTGGTGCTGCGCTTGCCGTCCGTGGGCGCCTGGATCACCTCCGCTCCGCCTGGCAGGTTTGCCGCTGCAAAGTTCTCATTCGGCGGCTTTGGTGCGCCTCGCCCTCCGTGAGCTAACCAAGCATTGGCAGGAGCACGGACTTGATCATCCCAAAACGAAGTGTCGTGAACTAGTTCATAGAAGCAAGCTGGCCAGGGTCGATCTGGGTCCCATTGCGGCGGCGTGGGCCGGCCTGCTGCCGCATCTGCCGACAACTTGAGTCTGATCCTGCTGAGCTTCTCTCCCCTAGCCTTTTCATCTGCCAAGGCTATCAGGTGCCAGGCCTCTGTGTAGAGCTTCACCAGCTTCTCCACATGGCGCTCGTAGAGCTGCAACGTCGCCAAGGGGAGCAGATCCAACATGATGCAGGCCGTTTGAAAGACCCGCCATGCTGCGAGCCACTGTTGATAGTTTGCGGGTCCTGGCAGCTCCTTGGCCAGATACGTGCCGTCACCCTGGGGCAGCCAGGCTCTGAACTTCGAAGTCCTCAGTGCCCTCCTGCCGAAAGGAGACCACACTGCCATGTCCACATAGGGCGGCTGTTGCAGCAATGCCGTCCTCTTATGCAAGGCGCTCAGCTGTTCAGCAGTAACGTCCTCTTCCTCCTGGGGGGCGGCGCCCATTATGGTGACATACCTCTGGAACCACAGATCTACTCGAGCAAGGGGCTCCACCAGGAACTCGCTGTCGTCTGTCTGGTCCAACACCTGTGACATCTTCAAAGATCTCTCCCTGGTTGTTGCAGCGGCTGGAGCTGGAGTAGGCGCAGCAGTGGGTTTTGCGGCCCAAGGGTCTATATCAGTCCACTCTCCCCACGTGCCGCCGCCCCGGACCCATTGGATCCTGTTTGCGAGTCGCCAAACCAACCCCAACTGCACAGCACATGTAGGTGTCAAGTTTGACCCGTCAGGCATGCGCGAGTCGACAACATTTTGAACAACTGCTTCTGGAGGGATGGCAGGGAATATACGGAGATCCGGATACCCGATCTGGGCATGGAATGCTTGCCAGGCCTCATCCGGTACCCCATAAAACTGCCGAACTTCATCAAGGCTGGCGAAGGCCAGTGCAGCGGCTTCGGATGGCCACAGAGCCATGGCAAGAAGCCTGCACCAGCCTGTATATCAGGCCATCTCGGCCCGAAAAGGCTTCAGCAGGTACATTTGATGCCCACCCCCCCGGCCCAAACATGTTTACTCTTATGCCCCACAATCCTTTCAGGTTTTGCGAACCCTAAACCCTAAACCCTAAACCCTAAACCCTACCTACTCAGCTACTAAACGCTGACTGAAATGAAACGCTGCCTCGATCAGCACGGAGTCCCATGGCGAACCGTTCGCGCTCTCGAATCAAGGTTGGCGGCTCCCGCTCGCTGCGGTCCTGTGGCTAGGACTAGGGGAGGGTTTAGGGTTTAGGGTTTAGGGTTTAGGGTTTAGGGTTTAGGGTTTAGGGTTTAGGGTTTAGGGTTTAGGGTTTTAGGGTTTAGGGTTTAGGGTTTAGGGTTTCGGGTTTCGGGTTTCGGGTTTAGGGGCTGCGGGGGCTGGGGTTTCGGGTTTGAGTGCCTTCGCCGTGGCAGCACTGTGGTTGCATCATGAGGGCATGGGGCGCAGCATCATTCTGACAGGGTTGTTGGTGACACACACGTATTTTCAGGGTTTCGAGTTTAGGGTCCGGGGGACACTGCATTTTCTGGAGTCACATGGGTCATCAGACATGTGACTTGGCTTAGGACAAGCACAAGCACTGCAATGCTTTGTTGCAGTCAACAAGCTGCGCAACAGCCATGGTACGTCAATCCCCCTGTCCTCGAGGCGCGGCATGGTTCGGGAAAAGGGGCTGGCGCGGCCTCCCGAAAAGTAGGGGAGAGATAGTCATAGTAATGAACATTTGAACACTATGCAAGAATATTAGTAATAGTAGCAACAACGAAAATGCTTCCTGACCTGGCGGGGGGGGGGGGGGGGGTTCAAGCAAAGGCTTTAACAGGTTCTGCATCCACTTTGTTTCCAGGGTGGAAACCAGTGATGCTGGCGCCACTCCGGAAACAAAAGCACCCCAAAATCATGTCAAAATCGTGCATCACTTCGCTCTTTTCATTTTACATCAATGCAGCGAGTGCAATGGCGTGGGAAATGCCTGCCATGATGCCAGCGGTTCGTTGAACAACTAGTAGATGAATAAGGAGGCGGCCTAACTGCAGCTCTGTTCTGTGGCTATCCTGGGGAGCCGCCATCATCAGCACTAAGAGTTACTATGGGAGCCCACTTCATTTTACGATTTGCCATTCTGTTCGCTCAATAAACCTTGTGAAGTAGATGAGTTCCATAATGCAAAAAAACGACGAATGACATTGAGCCCAATTGATGGGTGTGTCGAAAATGAGGAAGAGAATAGAGAAAATGTGCTTGTTTCCTGGGGAGTTGAGGTGTTCACCAGGATGACAACAATTATAGCCTCAAAACACCCCCTACAACACCAGATAAAAGAGAGTCAACTGTAGGGTCCTTCACATATAGTTTTTCCTCTATTACCTGTACGCACGGACGATAGGCGGATAACTTTTTTGATGACTTGCGCAAATTTGGGTTTGTAGTTTATGCTGGAAAGCTGGGCAACCTGCAGCCGTTCACCTCCCATAAATCACTGAAACTGCCTACATCCAGCCTACAGTCAACCTTGATCAAAAACAGAAACCGAAGATAGGGCTGTTGATTGTTTGCCAAATGCGGGTGCTCCGAAATAGGGTTGTACACGTTTTTTGGGTTTCCGGTAATACAAGGATGGCACTGCTTTGGGGGTATGTTGGGGAGGGCCCCGATTTGGAAAATGCCTAAATGCTGCAACCACACGCTAGCGATGATCGCTATACAGCAGTGTGCTACTAGTATGCTGTAGTTTCTGTAGTCTACTACACAGCATAGGATAGTAGACTGCATACTGTAAGCCATCCAAGTACACTATAGCGTACGGAAAACAATAGTACAGCATACGATCGTATAGGTAGGGTGGTGGAACCTTGAGAACATGGCTAGAATGCTTTGTGCTCCCGCAACAACCTGCACAGCCCTTCCCCCAAGGCATTGCCCACAACACGTGGGCTACGCTACACGAAATTCTCAGCCCCAAGCCCTAAGCCCTAAACCCGCCCACATGAATATCCGTCCCTCATACTGACCCAAATACACTGGCCTGTCCCTAGGCCCCAAACTCCTGCTGTAGGCGTCCAAAACCTTCAGCTTTAGCGTCTTATATCAGGAAACTGACAACATAACAATAGGGCTCTAAATCTGAAGTTCTCTTGGGTCCCTAACCCTAAACCCTAAACCCTAAACCCTAAACCCTAAACCCTAAACCCTAAACCCTATACCCTAAACCCTAAACCCTAAACTGAGTTCCAAGACCTCCTCTCATGGCCTTGAGGGTGGCCAGTGGTGGCAGAGGCGTAGGGCTGCGCAAGGTAGGTCGTCTGTCCGAAGGCAACGACCTTTAAGGGTTCAGGGCTTGAGTTTAAGGCCTTGGGCTTTGAGACTTGACGAGCTTGGGCTTTCAGGGCTTAAGGGCTCTAGGGTTTGAGGCTTTTAGCTTTTGAGGGTTTTAGGGTTTGAGGGTTTGGGGTTTAGGTTCATGTTGCTGAAGGGCGCTTCCGAATGAAGATGAGGCGCCCTCTGAACGGGCTCGCGATTCCGCGGATGACTTTGCTCCTGGCACAAAGTGAAGGCCTCTGAAGCTTCAACCCTGAATCCAAACCTCCGGGTTTACTGTACAAGCACGAAAGAGGGAGTGCCCTAAACATAACTGCAGCCCGACAACTGCAGAGGCGCGACCCGACCCAAAAACACCAAGTTACACCCTAAACATGATTTTAGAAAATCACAGATCAAAGCCCGAAGTTTGAAATCCTAAACCCTCAACCCTTGCCAGTATCCTAAACACTACTACAAGAGCCCCGAACCTGAAACCCTAAACCCTAAACCTTAAGCCCTAAACCCTGAACCCCAAACCCTGAACCCTAAACCCTAAACCCTAAACTCTACACCCTAAACCCCATATCCGAAACCCTAAACCCGAAACTGCACATCCCCCCGAGGCCCCTCGGGTGACTCCTCGGGCGAGCTCCGGGCTTCTTTCGGACACCTGGGTTTTTGGGGTTTGGAGAGGTTTGGGGCTTAGGGGTTTAGGGTTTGGGGTTTAGGGTTTAGGGTTTAGGGTTTAGGGCTTAGGGCTTAGGGCTTAGGGCTTAGGGCTTAGGGCTTAGGTGGGGTCAAAAGAGAGTTGTGCGTTCAGACGTGGTTTTTGGGGTTTAGGGTTCAGGGCTGGGGGCCTGAAAGGACGCTGAAAAGCAGGAATTGAGGGGTCCGTGGGGTGGGGAGGAGGTTTTTGTAGGGCTCCTGGGCTTTGTGTTTCGGAGTGATGGTCTGAAGTTTACGGCTTTTCGCGTATGGAGTTAGAACTCCCAAAATTCAAAAGACCCTCCAAACCCCAAAACCCCCAAAAGCAAAACCTGAAGCACCCAAAAGCCCTAAACCCTAAACCCTAAACCCAAAACAAGAACACCCAAAAGCCCTCGGCCGGGCGGCAGCGGCGGCGGCTCATCGTCCTTCTCCACGCGGTCGCTGCGCCGGGCGCCGAGGGACTTCGCCCTGGCGCAGAGTACTGAGGGTGTTGAACATTTTGGCCTCGGAAAAGACTCTGCTCTAATGACTCTAATGGTTTTTGGGGGGTCGGCGCCCAGCTGCCAGGCCCTGAACAAGCTTAGAAGCCTGGGCTTTTTCGGTTTCAGGGCTCTTAGGTTGAGGGCTTTGGGGTTTAGAAGTCAAAGTTCAGGGTTTAGGTTTTAGGGCTTAGGCTTTAAGTTTTCGGTTTTAAAGGTTTAGGGTTTAGGGTCTAGGGTTTAGAGTTCAAACCCCTGAAACCCTAAACCCTAAGCCCCAAAACCCCTGAAACCCCTGAATCCCCAAACCTGGCCTGAACCTGGCGCCGACAGTGGTCTGCAAGTCCTTCTTGGAAGGCGCCTTGGTCCTTGCTCTGTGGGGGAATCAGGGGATTGAGCAGTTCCCATTCCCCGAAATCCGAACCCTAAATCGCAAACCCTTAAACCCCCCAAAAGCCTTAAACCCCAAACCCTGAAGCCCAGAGCCTGAAACCCTCAAACCCTCCACCCCCCCCAAACCCTTAACCCCTTAAAAAAAAAAAAAAACATAAAACCTTAAATACCCTTAAACACCCTTAAAAACCTTAAAAGCCCTTCTGTCCCGAAACCAAAACGCCGGAACCCTCTTGCTGCAGAGCGTCAGCCGCTTGGTCGAGCTCTTGGTTCGGGACGCCTTCCGCTTGGGCTTAAGGCTGCTCCGCGCCTCGCGCCTCCTGAAGGCACGAAGTCAGGGTGTTGGGGTTTAGGGTTTAGGGTTTTAGGGTTTAGGGTTTAGGGTTTAGGGTTTATGGTTTAGGGTTTAGGGTTTAGGGTTTAGAGGTTAGGGTTCAGGGTCTAGGGTTCAGGGTTCAGGGTTCAGGGTTTAGGGTTTGGGGTTTTTGGTTAGGGTTTCGGGTTTAGGGAGTTCCTATGCTAGGGCTTCAAGTCTTCGGAGTCGTTGCTGTTTATGTTTGGGGGAGAATTTCTATACAGTGTTGGGACTTTTGTTCTTTTTTGGGTGGGGGGGGGGGGGGCTGGATTCCTACGCTAAGGTTTTAGGTTTTAGGATTTTTTGGGGCGGTTCGGGTTCAAGCTTCAGGGGAGGGTCTCGGGCTTCAAGCCTATGCCCTAAACTAATAGCAAAACCTAGGTTCACGGTGCAGGGGTGGTTTGAAAGGGGCGTGCGGCAATTTTTAAGGGTGTCGCTGGTCCCCGTTCCGGGTTCTTTTTCCGTTGGGCAGATTTATATATGGTTGGATTTCCAGCTTCTGACCCTGCACTCTGGTTGATTTTCGACTGGGATTTAGGAATTGGGGTTGTAGGGTGCACCAGGCGCGTTTGGTTGGGCTTTAGTGTAGCTATGGAATACTTCCCAAGACCGAGCATGACCGAGGCCGGATTTGACCCTTAAACCATTAAAACCCTAAACCCCTAAACACAAATCCCTACGCGCTTGAGCAAAAGGCAGAAAAAAGCAACTACCCCCAAAAATCTTAAAACCGATAAGGCCACAAAAAGCCCCAAAAACAGACTCAGAGCCATAAGCCCTAAGCCTTAAGCCCTAAGCCCTAAGCCCAAAACCCTAAACCCTAAACCCTACACCCTAAACCCTAAACCCTAAACCCTAAACCCTAAACCCTAAACTGCTGGTGTAGCTCCAAGCGCCTTCTGGCGACCAATGCCTCTGCTACTCCTTGGAGCCCCGCCGGTTCCTGGGATCGTGGCGTGAGGTCTTGGAGTCGGGGGTTTAGGGTTTAGGGTTTAGGGTTTAGGGTTTAGGGTTTAGGGTTTAGGGTTTAGGGTTCAGCATCTGATGTTCTAGCTTTCACTGGTCAAGCAAATTGTCAAGTGACGGAGAAGCACCCGCCCACCCAAGAATCCCATGGTTTTGAGAAGTTTGAAGTCCATTTCTATCTATAAGTGACTGGAGATCTCTTACTGGTAACATGTGGAACATGCTACTTCCTGTTGTTCATAACCCTCCTTTTCCTGAAGTGTGACCACTTCGGCCCGTGAAGTGTGGCCAGCCAGGAAAGTGTGAACAGCGACCACCTAGGACCATGAAGTGTGCCAATTTACAGCTTGGTCTGCCAGAAAAGCAAGCATCGCCTGAATCTGGCTCCGGATCTTTTCGCCGTGGTGCATTTTACAGGTTTTGCATTCGGGTTTGGGGTTTAGGGTGAGTGTGCAGGGCTCAAGATATCGCAGCAACACCCCGAACAGACTTCTGCCAGGGCCCACGCCAAGTTGTCTGCCGACGGCGCGCTGTCCGATCCTCCTGAATTCTACTATTTGCTTAAGAACCCCCCAAAAACAAAACATTGCCCTTATAAGGAGGACTATGTTGTATATTCTGGGGGATTCTTAAGCAATTAGTAGAATTTGGTGGTGAAGATGCTCCGGCAGTCTGCACGGCTTTGGGGTCTCGAGGCTAGAGGGAGCCTCTGGCTGACGCCTTCATTAGGCCCCTTGAAGGCTTCCCATCCCCGCACCCCAAGGACTCAGGGGTCCCATTCGCTCCCTTGAATTTCTTGCACCCACCCGCTTTTCAGGGTATAGGCTTGGAGGCGACGGGCCTCTACCCTGGTCCCAGATTTGAGGCTCAGGGTTTCTGAACCCCGCTGCCCTGTTAGGGCGCCCCCCTCTGCTCAATTTCAAATCCTCTTGCACTTATCTTACCCTGCTGAGACACCTTCGGGTTTAGGGGCTAGGCTTCCCGAAACCCTACTCTCCCTGAAACCTAAAGCCCAAAAACCTCTAACCCTTTGACTCAACAAACATGGACACCCCTAAACATCATGACCCCTCAAGATCACACCCCCCCCTAAATATCAAAACCTGAACTACCCTGGGTCCTGGAAACTATGTAGTATATACTTAAGCCTAAAAGGCGTGATTCTACAGTTGATTGATAGGCCCAAGTACCTGCTACATGCATGGACCCTTTGGCACGACCCTAAACCTTCAAACCTTAAACCCTAAATGCTATAGCCCTAATCCCTGAACCCTAAAACCCTAAAACCCTAAACCCCTGAACCCTGAACCTTAAACCCTGAACCCTAAACCCTAAACCCTAAACCCTACCAACATCCCAGGCCCTGCGCTCGCGGGAAGGCTCTCGGTCCTGAGTCTGACTCGGTCTCCTCCTCTGGCAGACCTTCCGGAGAAGGGTTTGGGGAGTTTAGGGTTTAGGGTGTTAGGGTTTAGGGCTTAAGTGTTTAGGGTTTTCGGGTTTTAGGGTTTAGGGGTTTAGGATTTGGGGTTTTAGGGTTTAGGGGTTTTAGGGGGGCCGTAGGGTTGGAGGCTTCTGGGGTGCAGATAGATGTAGGACGCTGCTTCTTCTGGGTTTGATGCCGCAGCCGCTGTTCTCAGAGGTGTCGCACGGTTCGGAAAGCGAAGACTTCCCTGTACCATAGGTATCTGGGCCCTAGAAAGCAGCTATGCAGGAACCTTCTCAAGCCCAGGTGTACGCTCTCTATACAGAGACAGAGAGAGAGAGAGAGAGAGAGAGAGAGAGAGAGAGAGATATATATATATACATATACACATAAAAAGATATACATGTATGTGTGTATGTATACACAGGTACATAGGCTCTTGGGGAAATTTCCTTGTGGCTTCTCGCCCGCATGGAGAGTTCTGGGCCACAATCGGAAACTCAATGAGCCTTCAGAAAATGAGGGGCTCGGCCGAGAGCTACCCAGAAGCGCAACCCCTTCTTCTCTTAAATTGAAAAAAAAGTGCGCCCCTTCGGCAAAAATCATTCCAACAATAATACATATTTTTTGCCTTATTTAAACCGAATTATCAAATAAAGAGCCCTGAGCATCTTGGTTTGGTTTTGGCTTGGCTCGGGCCCTGCAAGAAAGAAATCCAGGACGCCCTGACCTGAACATTCTGGCTTTCTTATCCAGCACTGTCACTGTGCCCCAACAGCTTTGGGTTCAGGACTGAACGTGGTAAGCATGGCCTTGAGACGTGAGCTCCGCCAAGACATCGGCGTAGCTGATCTCCAGCAGGTCCAGGCTCTGGCCCTGACCACAAGAGGATTTGTACCATAAACCCCCAAAAACTGAACCTTTGTATCATACATAATATAAATGCGACTAATGATCTGTCAAGTGTTCAAGATCGAAAAACCATTGGGAAAAGTCATAACAACAATGGGCAAGGCCATAAAACCAATGGGCAAGGTCCGTCGGCTAACCCATGATCTTGCCCAATCTTTCTTTGTGACCTGCCCCCTCTTTTCATGACCTTGCCCAATGTCTGTATCTCCCAACATAGGGGGTACCCTTTTATCCCAAACAGAATAGAATCCCCTTAAAGGAACCCCCAAAAAGGCGACCCCTATTTTCGGAAACCCTATACCCTAAACCCTAAACCCTAAACCCTAAACCCTAAACCCTAAACCCTAAACCCTAAACCCTAAACCCTAAACCCTAAACCCCCCCTCTTTTGGGAAACGCCCTTGCCCAATCTTTTGTTGATGAGGCCCCAGGAGTCGCCACCTCTCGGGCTGGGCCCGACATCCAGGCTGGGTCGGGCTTCGCCAGCCTTAAGAAGGGGGGGTTGGGGAAACCAGCCAGGACTTTGGGGGGGGGGGGGGGGGGTTAAGGTGGTTCTAAGGTTTAGGGGAAAGCAGCCAGGACTTGGGGGGGGGGGGTTTTAAGGTGGTTCTAAGGTTTAGGGTTTAGCGTTTAGGGTCTAGGGATTAGGGATTTAGGGTTTATAGGGTTTAGGTTCTAGGGTGGCTTAAAGGTGATGTTAAGGTGGTTTCAAGGCGTTTTCTTCGGGAGGTTTCAATGGGTGATTTGAGGGAGTTTGGCGTTGCCCTTCGTTCCCTCAGAGCCTGACGAAGTCCCAAACCCCAAAAACATACTGAACCCTAAAATCGTCCCTAAAAAGGCACACAGAGACCCCACTGAGCCCCGAAGTCCAAAACCCTCAAGAGGGCCCAGGGCTTGAGGGTTTGGGCCCTAGCCTACTGACCCAAAAACCCCTAAACCCTGCACCCTAAACCCTCAACCCTAAACCCTAAACCCCAAACCCCAAACCCCAAACCCTAAACCCAGCTGAGCTGAGGCCACGGCGGGGCCTCGGCCGCGAAGTCCTCAAAGCCCGCAGGGGAGTCCGGCTCCTCCTCGGGCCGGGTGTTTTGGCAGGGCTTTGTCGGGTTTGGGGGGGAAGGGAAAAATTAGGATTTAGGGTTTAGAGTTTAGGGTTTAGGGTTTAGGGTTTAGGGTTTCGGGTAACGAGTGGTTTTCGGGCTTAGGGTTTAGGGTTGTGGGTTGCAGGTTGTAGTAGGATTTGCAGCTAGGGTTTAGGGTAGGGCTGGCAGGGTTTAGGGGCTTGCGTTTTGCCCGGATTGGGCTTACCCTCAACCCCCCTAAACCCTTAAGCTTCCTGAAGCCCCCAACGCCCCCCGAACCCCTAAACCCTAACCACTAAGTCCTGAACCCTAAACCCTAAACCCCAAACCCTAAACCCGAAACCCCAAACCCCAAACCCTCCCCTAAACCCCTGAAAGCCGCAGCAGAGCTTTCCCTCCAGGTGCCCGGCGCTGCCCGCCTCAGAAGGCGTCGAGGACCCAGAACCTTGGCTTTGGGTTGTCAGGGTTTTAGGGCTTTGGGGGGTTTAGGATTTAGGGTTTAGGGTTTAGGGTTAGAGGGGTTTGGGGGGTTAAGTGTAACTAGGTTTTGTTTTAAAGTTTAAGGTCGAGGGCTTAGGCCCCGAAAACCCGAAGACCCTCATCCCCACAACCTCAAACCATGAACCCTAAAACCCGCACCATTGGGGGGTGTACCATTTATACATGATCGTTTTATATTCCTGATTGGGTTTAAGTGTTCACAATAAAATTCAACATGATTTTCAACAATGACCCGCAGAAAGCCCTCTAACCCCTAAGCCCTAAATCTCAAAACCCCTAAACCCTACGAACTCCACAAACCCACAGAAGATAAGGAGCCGCAGGGCGAGGCGGTGGCGTTGGCGGCCTCTTGGCAGCAACGTGGGGGTGCTGGGCTTGCATTTCGGCTCTCCGCTAGGGTTGCTCTCGGGTTTAGCGTCTGGGGCTTAAGGCCCGGGGCTTGGCAGAACCCCCTAAAGATGCACCCAAGCATCCTAAGACGATACCTGCGAGGACCTTACTCACGGATGTGTTTCTCGCCGGGGGCGGGGAGGGGAAGGGTAGGGATCGAAGGGTTCGAGGGTGTGGAGATTGAGAGATCACGCGCAGGCGTGGCACCGCGCATGCAAAACCATCTCACACCCTAAACTTCTCATAGTATTCAGTGTTCAATTAATTCATCACTTCTTGGGAGGTTGGGGATTTGGGGGCCCCATGGATGGCCAGGGCTTCATTCGTCGTTTGATTCTTATTGTAAATGGAAATGTTCCTGCTACGCTTTGTCTCTTATCATTGTGATTCATGCAACTGTGATGTCATTGTTAATGATAATGAAATTGCAAAGATTTGATGGAAGCCTTCTTGTCCAATAGTTGTGCTAGATAGTGCTAAATGGCACTACAACTACAGTAGTGCGAAACAATCAAAATACTGCTAAAGGGTGCGAAATAGTGCTAAATAATGCGAATAGTGCTAAAACGTACTGCTTGTGCAAATAGTGCAAGATGAAAATGCTAACTCGCGTGAAATAAACAACCGAAATACAAAGAAACGCATGCATTTAGCACAAAACGGCCAGATGACAACTTTGCCCAAGATAAACAGGAACTACCTGCAAAGAACGCTCTCAAACCTACGTAGTGTCACATCTACCAGTAATTATGGCTTGCAAAGCTTCCATGAAAATCAACATCCTTCTGACCTTCATTAAGAGCAGCATTACTTTGCTCGATCCTGCTTGTATATTTTGATCATATTCCTTCACTGGGCCGTGCCTGCACTGGAGAGAGGGTCGGCCAAGGACCACCCAGATCCCCTGGTCAGGATTTATCTATCGCTGGGGCACGTCTGGCAGCCGCTGCCGCTTGTGTTCCAGAACCCTTCGCGCACACCCTGAAGCCGAAGCTGCGCCCAAAAATGGTCGGAGCCCTAAACCCACAGGCCTGTAGGTCAGGCACATCCTCACACCCGAAACAGCTTTGGAGCCACAGCTCCACAAGATAAAACACACGCCTCGACCAATCCTTGACTCAAACCCGAAACCCTCCCTGTTCACAGCTTGTTCTGGATGTATGATTACCCTGCGCTGCAAGTGGTGGTTGCTCCTAAAGTCTTTGCCCCCGGCGTCCCGATAGTTATATGACGTTCCCAAAGGGTTCCTTTAGTTAGAGTCACCTCAGAGGAAGTCCCAACCCCTTCACCCCGAGACTCAACTTCGGGCCACGCGACCGCACCAGGGACGCTGGGAACGAAGCCGGGCCTTGACCTGCGAGTTGCGAGTTTAGGGTTTAGGGTTTATATAGGGTTTAGGGTTTAGGGTTTAGGGTTTAGGGTTTAGGGTTCAGGGTTCCGGGTTCAGGGTTCAGGGTTCAGGGTTTAGGATGAATTGTTTAGGGGTTGAGGGAGTGAGGGCTGGATTCCGGGGTTGCAAACACACAAGCAACACCCCAAAACCCCCAAGGCCTAAATCCTGAGCCCTCAACCCCTCCGCCACTCTCCTGACACTGAACCCACACCCGAAACCCAAAGTCTCGGACCAGAAACCTCATAAAACCTCATCAGCCTCATACTCCTCTGATACCCTAGCCCTAAACCCTTCTACCCTCATCCCCTAAGCCCCTAAACCCCTAGGCCCCTAACCCCCTAAACCCCCTAAACCCCCTAAACCCCCTAAACCCCCAAACCCCAAACCCAAAAACCCTAAACCCCTAAACCCGAAACCCCCAAACCCCAAAACCCTAAACCCCCAAACCCCCAAACCCAAAAACCCTAAACCCAAAACCCCGAAACCCCAAAAGCCCGAAACCCGAAACCCCCAAACCCCAAAACCCTGAACCCCTAAAGCCCTAAACCCCAAAAGCCCTAAACCCCCAAACCCCCAAACCCCTTAACCCCAAGACCCCTACACCCCTAGCTCGATAGGGGTCCCGGGCCATGGGTGCGAGGTTCTGCTGGAGGATCAGCGCACGCGCCAGGTCGGCTCCGAAGAGCCTTGGGCTTTCTCAAAAAAAGTTTAGGGTTCAGGGTTTAGGGGTTTAGGGTTTAGGGTTTAGGGTTTAGGGTTTAGGGTTTAGGGTTTAGGGTTTAGGGTTTGGGGCTGTTACGGGGGGGCTTCTAGGGAGCTTTTAGGAGGTTTTTGGTGGCTTTAGGGCTTAGAGGGGCTTAATTCGGGGGCGTCAGGGGTTTTAGGGCTTCCGGGAGCTTGAAGGAGTTTACGGACTTGGGGCTTAGGGCTTTTTGGAGCTTCGGGGGCTCGAGGACTTCTTAAACCTGGATCAAGAAGAAGCCCGAGACTTGGTCCATTGGTGGCGTGCTTAGGGGTCTAGGGGTTTAGGGGTTCATTGTTTAGGGTTTAGGGTTTAGGGTTTAGGGTTTAGGGTTTAGGGTTTAGGGTTTAGGGCTTTAGGGCTTTAGGGTTTATATAGGGTTCAAGGTTTAAGGAGCTGCCGGCACACCTCTCCTGCCAGAGCGCTTGGAGCTCGAAAACCCTGAAACCTAAACCCCAAAACCCGAAACCCCCAAACCCCAAACCCCCGAACACCGCCATAACTTGGGATGTTCACCCTTATACTAACAGTCCTTAGTAGGATATGATAGGGGATACTATAAATCCCTACCAAGGTCTGTAAAAGGGGGAACACCCCAACCCATAACCCTAAAAGACCCTGCGGCCCCAAAAGACGAGAGCGTGGCTGGAGACGACCGGGCGTGAAGGGCACCACTGCAGCACCCCTTGGGCACTCCAGCGTTTCAGGGAGTTGAGGGTTGAGGGTTGAGGGTTTAGGGGTTTTGGGTTTTGGGTTTAGGGTTTAGGCTTCCGAGTTTCGGGTTTAAGGTTTTGGGTTTAGGCTTCAGAGTCAGGGCTACAGGCAGCCAAAAGCCTAATTTTATGGCAAGCCCTCCTGGGGCCCTGATAAACCTCCAACCCCAGAAGCCACATCCCAAGGTTTAATTAGGGGGTTTAGGGTGGAGGGTTTAGGGTTTGGGGTTTGGGGGTTTGGGGTTTAGGGGTTTAGGGGTTTAAGGTTGAGGGTTTAGGGTTTAGGGTTGAAGGTTGGAGTTCTTCCGAGTTGCGGCAGCGGATCCTCCCAGAGGCAGGAGCGGTTTGTCAAGACTCCCGGGCTTCGCCGTAAACCCCTTAAACCCTTAAACCCCTAAACCCCAAAACCCTAAAGACCTTAAAGCCTAAACCTTAAGCCTTGAGCCCCTGAACCCTGAAAACCCTAAAGCATTTTATATATATATATATATATGTTTGAGATCACTGGGGCTCCGAGGACACTACCCCAAGGCATGAACTGGGGCACCCTATCCAGGAAAGCCTGTGTCTAGAGTTTAGGGGGTTTTGGGCTTGAGGCTTAGGGTTGTTCAGGGTGGTTCAGGGTGGTTCAGGGTGGTTTAGGGTGGTTCACGGTGGTTTAGGGTGGTTCAGGGTGGTTTAGAGAGCTGAGGGTTTAGAGCTCGGGGATGCTTTAAGGTTTAGAATTTTCAGGGCCCAGGGAAGACGAACAAACAAACTGAGGCCCCGAGGTCCTCCCCGTCGGAGCTGTGCGCAGGCTCCTCCGTGACCTCCGGGTCGGCTTTGAGTTAGGCTTTAGGTTGGGATGTTCCCCCCCTATACTAACAGCCCATAATCAGGGACTTACAAGAGGGGGTAGCATAATCCCTATGGTACAAGGGGGAAGATCCCAAGTGTTGGGGGTTTTGGGGCTTTAGGGGCCCTAAGGTTGAGGGGTCTCAGGGGTGTCAGGGCGGGGCCCTGGGGGCCGGAGCGTTTAAGGTTCTTAGAGTTTTGGGGCGCTGGTACTTCGGCGGAGGTGTTGTTTTGTTTTTGGGCTTTTGGGGCCGCAACAACTAGAACCTCGGCAAACCTAAACCCTGAACCCTCAAAGACCCCTTCAAAAACAATAGGACCAACCCTTAAACGCCCTTAAAAACCCTAAAAACCTAAAGCCACTGAAAACCTTAAACCCCGATGTAAACCCCATACAAACCCCAAAGAAAACCCCAAATAAACGCCCAAACAGCCCCAAGTAAACCCCTCAACCCTAAACCACTAAAAACCCTAAACCCTAGCCCTAAACCCTAAACCCTGAGCGCTCAACTACCACCCTAAACCCTAGCCCTAAACCCTAAACCCTAAACCCTTGCAGCATCCCGGGGCTTCCCAAACTGAGCTGCGGCCTTGCCATCCACCGACCCCCAGAGCGAGGCCTGGTCGAGCGCGCGCGAATATTTGTTGGACGCTTCGTAGGGTTTAGGGTTTAGGGTTTAAACCCGGTTAGGACTTGGGGTTTAGGGGTTAGGGTGTAGGGTTTTGGGTTTCAGGGTTTAAGTTCTTAGGGTTTAGGGTGTAGGGTTTAGGGTTTCAGGGTTTAGGTTCAGAAGGTTTGGGGCCTCGGAAGGTTTAAACAGGGTTGAGGGTTGAGGTCTGTGGGCTTGGGCCCCGCAGGTCTGGGCCCTGGGATGTACTGAACGCATTGGCACCGCAGTGTCCAGCAACACACACCCCCGCGCGCACCTTAAACCCTCCCCTCAACTGCCTCGATGGTGTAGGCATTCGTGATGCCAAGGTCCTTTGGCACGGCACATTGGGGAAAAGCTCGGGCTTGGGTTAATGCTTGTATGAGGATGCGCCCCGGTCAGCCATGCCGTGTCAACCCTAAACACACAGCCCCAAAACCACCCCAAAACCCGTCTAAGTCTCTAACCCTAAACCCGAACTAAACCCTAAACCCTCTATAAGCCTCGAAGCCCTTCTGACCACCAATACTCTGCAGATTGCCAACTTGGATGTCCTTGGCCACCACCACGCGGCCGGTCCCGCGTTTGCCCTTTCCGACCTCTGTACAAGAGACCAAGGCCAGGAGAACCAGAGTTGAACTCTAACAAACCCCTACAAAAGCTCCAAGAAAACTCAATAAAGTGTAGGGTTTGGGATTTAGGGTGGAAGGTTTAAGGTTTTAGGGTTCAGGGTTCCAAACCCCAAAAGTCCCAGAATCCCGAATCTTCTGGGGTGTCGGGTTTCACGCCAAGGGGCCCCGAAAGCCCCTAAACCCTGAACCCTAAACCCTAAACCCTAAACCCTAAACCCCACCAGGACCGCGGCCGTCCACCTGCAGCTGACCATGCTGAACTCCGGTATCAGGAGTGACCTCAACGGTAAGTTCTCAACTTGAGGGTTTAAGGTTTAAAGTTTAGGGCTTTGGGTTAGGGCTTAGGGTTTAGGGTTTAGGGTTTAGTTTAGGGTTTAAAGTTTAGGGCTTAAAGTTTAGGGTTTAGGGTTTAGGGTTTAGGGTTTAGGGTTTAGGGTTTTGGGTTTTGGGTTTTGGGTTTTGGGTTTAGGGGGTTAAGGTTGAGGGGTTAGGGTTTAAGGATCTGGCGTCTGAAATTTTGGGGCTTTCGGGCCAACCATAAGCTTCAACTTCGGGCCCAAGGGCTTGAGGGTTGAGGAAGGGTTCGAGTCTTAGTTGGGGGTTGGGCGTATACAGGAAAACCCCTAACCCCCTGAACCCCGGAAAAACCCCTAAAAACCCCTGAGCCCCTGAACCCCAAACCCCAAACCCCAAACCCTCAACCCTCAACCCTAAACCCTGCAGGGCTGCCCGGCAGGAGCTTTGGATACATCCGCACGGTGAAGCGACGGTGGTCGTCCTTGCACAGCCCGGGGCTTTCAAGGCGTTTTGGGGTTTGGGGCTTGAGGTTTTAGTAGTCGTTGTCTTGCAACTCCGAATGGCTCAAGTCCCACGCCCCAAGGTTGTAGGGCTATGGAATGGGATTCGGGGTTTAGGGTGCTTATGCTGGGGAGCCTTTCACGATATCAAACTGCATGGGTGGACCAGCCTCCGCAAACTGGCCACAGGCGTAGGCAAAGATCCCGCACTTGCGAGAATGCCCGTGCCTCAGCAGCTTTGAGTTTAGTTTCAAAGGTTTAGGGTTTGAAGGTTCAGGGTTTTCAGCTTTGACAGTTTGTTCAGGGCTTAAAGCTCGATGCTTTCGGGCAGGCAGGGCTTTGCCGTGCCGGGCAGCGCAAGACAACCCTAGGGGAAGAGGGACTGAGGTACGAAATATTCCACCAACCCAAGCCCTAAACCCGAAACCTCGGTAAGGTTCTTGAACCAGAAGAGAACGCAGAACCTCGAGTCCAGGAAGCTCGCGGGTTGTATAAGTTGATGGTTTAGGGCTTGGGGTTTTAGGGTTCTAGGGTTCTAGAGTTCTAAGGTTCTAGGGCTTAGGGTTCTAGGGTTGAGGGTGATGAGGGCCCCTACCATCTGCCAGCTATTTTGCGCTCCCGGCCTTGTGGTGGTGAGGAGTCAACTCCAGTGGGTAGAAGCAGTGCGAGGCCGAACCATCAATAAAGAAAGGGGAATGCGGAGCGCAAGTCCGCCATGTCTTGCTGTAGAGAGAGTTCAGTCTACAGCCCACCCAAGGCCCTTAATCACTAAGCCCCCTAAACCTTATTTGAAAGTATCCGCCAAAGTTGCAATTACTGATATAATATGAAGCCCAAAAAGGCTCTTAAGACCCTAAGCCGGAAATTCGCTGGGGCGTGGGCAGGTCTAGATATGTACACAGCCTGGAGCGACTCTTGGCCACCTCGGCGTCTGAAACTGGGGCCTTGAAGGGATACACGAAACCCGAAACCCCAAACCCTAAACCCTAGCTGCCCCTAAACCCTAAACCCTAAACCCTAAACCCTAAACCCTAAACCCTAAACCCTAAGCCCTAAGCCCTAAACCCTAAACCCTAAACCCTAAACCCTAAACCCTAAACCCTAAACCCTAGCCCAGGATTCGGAGTTCAGGGCTGCTCGAAACCCTGGCGACCGTGCTGGGGGTTGCGGGATCTTTGAGTGGGTCTATTCCTTAGTTCTTCTGGCCTTTCGGGCTTCGTCTTCGGGTTCTTGAAGGCTCTGTGCCCACTGTCAGCCCCGATGGCCAGAAACAGGAAGCACAGGGACCCCGCGAGCTTCTTGAGCTTGAAAACCTGCGAGCGAGAGGGCTTCAGGGTTTGGGGTTTAGGGTTTAGGGTTCAGGGTTTAGGGTTTAGGGTTAAGGGATCAGGGTTTAGGGTTTAGGGTTTAGGGGGCTTAGGGTGTAGGGGCTCGGGGTTGAATCTGGTGCTCACGGCCTTGGGCCTTTTGTGCTTTGGACTTTCGGGTCTGTGGATTTCGGCCCGTAAGCCTTTTGAGCTCGGGGCTCTGGCGGATTCTCAGCTGAAGATGGCAGTACCCTTTGTCTCAACGGCCCCGCTGTTCATGCCCTAGGCTGAGGCCTTAACCCGCACGGGACGTGCCCTGAGCCGGCTGGTTGTTCCTTCCAAATTTAGGATTCAAGGATGCGGAGAAACCAAAAGCCTTCAAACCCCCCAAAAAACCCCAAAACCCAAAAAACCCTAAACCCAAAAAAAAAAATAAAACCCCTAAACCCTATAAACCCTAAACCCTCAACCCTCGACCCTAAACCCTAGCCCTAAACCCTAAACCCGAGTAACCCTAAACCCTAAAACCCCGGAAAGTCATCAGGCGCTGGCCGGTGAGTGGAGGAGCTCATGGGGAGACCGCCACTGGCGGTTGAGGTCCATGCCTCGGTCCAGGCAAAAGGGGGTTTAAGGGGTTTAGGGTTTCGGGTTTGGGGTTCAGGAGGTTTAGGGTTTAGGGTTTGGGGTTTGGGGTTTAGGGTTTGGGGCTTGGGGTTTAGGGTTCAGGGTTTGGGGTTTAGGGATTGGGGCTTAGGGTTTAGGAGGTTTAGGGTTTAGGGTTTAGGAGGTTTAGGGTTTGGGGGGTTCAGGGTTTGGGGGGTTTAGGGTAGGGTTTATGGTTTTGGGGTTCTCGGCTTTGAGGTTTAGGAGGTTTAGGAGGTTTAGGGTTTAGGAGGTTTAGGAGGTTTAGGAGGTTTAGGAGGTTTAGGAGGTTTAGGAGGTTTAGGAGGTTTAGGAGGTTTAGGAGGTTTAGGAGGTTTAGGAGGTTTAGGAGGTTTAGGAGGTTTAGGAGGTTTAGGAGGTTTAGGAGGTTTAGGAGGTTTAGGAGGTTTAGGAGGTTTAGGAGGTTTAGGAGGTTTAGGAGGTTTAGGAGGTTTAGGAGGTTTAGGAGGTTTAGGAGGTTTAGGAGGTTTAGGAGGTTTAGGATTTCTGCTTTGGGGTTTAGGAGTGTAGGGTTTCGAGTTTAGAGGGCTTCGAGTTTGAGGCTTGGGGCATAAGGTTTAGGGCTTGGAATGCGAAGGTGTGAGGCTTAGGGAGTTATTGTTTCGAGTTTGCAGGATTTGGGGTTAAGGGTTGGCTTGGGGTTTGGGGGATTTGGGGCAGGCTTGAATGAAGGTTTCAAGGGTTAGGCTGCAGAGCCAAAAGCACCACAATGAAGTGGCCAGCGGTCATCTCAAGTATGATGCGTAAAAGGCCCTGAAACCCAAAACACAGGTGCAGGGCTTAGGGCTCAGACCCTCTGACTTTTTGGGTTTAGGGCCCAAACCCTAAACCCCCAAACCCTAATAAACAAGCAGTGGACCGTCAACTCCCCATGCAACAGCAGCTCATGGCCCACAGGGTCCCCCAGCCACAGAGACCGCAGCGGTAGTTGCCACCTCAGGTCTTTAGGATTCGGAAGGTTTCGGGTTTAGGGTTTAGGGTTTAGGTTTTAGGGGTTTTTAGGGTTTAGGGTTTAGGGTTGTTTAAAGTCTTTAAGGGCTTTTTAGGGTTTAGGGTTTAGGATTTAGGGTTCAGGGTTTAGCGAGTTTAGGCTTTGGGGTTTAGGGTGGGCTTGGGGTGCAGGGTTTAAGGGGCTTGGCATTTTGGGACTTTAGGGGTTTGCGGGCTCATCGCAAGGGAGAACCGCCCCGTTTCAAGCGGCCCACATCTCAGGCACCTGTGTTCTAGGTTCGCAGTGCACAGGGAAGGTCTTATAGCTGCTTATACTCTGATACAGGGGCCTAAATAGTTACTAATATTATGTTGGGGGGGGGTTCCTTTTATACCCATAATTAGGAAATAAGACAATATACCCCAAAACCCTATTCTAATTATTGAGGCCGGTGGAGCCGAGGGTTCGGGGTTTAGATGTGGGTTGGTTTAGGGGTGCACCGACTGCTTGGCAAGTTTAGCGTCCAAGCCCCAGGGATAGTCAGTGCCCCCAGAACCAGCATGAGAGAACATCAGAAAATCTCGAAGGGGAACCTACATGATTGCCTGCCATAGGCTTTTGGCTCTTGACGAGCACGGTTCAAATCTATATACAGTAGGATTTACCGACAACTACTAAGATTAATACACTAGGGTGCCACCCCCCAAAAGCAATTCTCTGCTGCTCTTTGAGGCTTTGGGGCTTTGGGTGCAGGGTTCAAGGGTTAGGGTGTAGGATGTTTAGGGTTCTGGCATCAAGCTTCGGCTGCGCAATTCTAATGCCAAACATGTGTTCTGACCCAATCCAAGCTGCTCGCATATGTGCAAATGGCAGAAGCCCTTTTCTTATCCCCAGCCGCCGGGATGGCTCGCTTGGAAGATAGGGGTGCCAAAACGAAGTAGGAAAACCCATAGAGCAACTTGCCCCCCTCAGCTTGTGCAGATGACAAGCTCTGGCAACTCTGACAAAGCTCATAGCATAGCAAAAAGATGCCAGGGCAATGCGCAGTTGGTTCACTGTTGATGACAATGAGCTGACAAAGAAGGGCAGCTTCAGCACTTTTTCAGCCACGCCTCAACACTGGCTGCTCAACAATGAAGAGCTCCCTCCTTAGAAGGGTAAACTCCTCGCCTAGGTGCAGTCTCCAAGGCCGTTCTAACCGGAGAGATTGGAGCAGGGGCCCTGTTGGCATGCTCCCTTTCATCCAACCTGGACTCCTGGCCGGCAGCTAGCTATATGGAGAAAATCAAGCATCAAGCATGCTTGAGGCCAGCAAGCCTAGCTTGTAAAAGAAACCAAAAATTCGGAAATGAACACTGCCACACGTCAGCTACAGCCTCACCGATACAGCTTGGGGCACACTTAGGAGCACCAGCGCTTAGCAATGTGCTAGCCTTGCCCTGCAAGGCTGAAGCTAAGCTTATCCACAGCCCATCCATCCGAACACCACAGGATGTGCAAGGATCTGCGCCACTTGGGATGTCGCAAAAACCTCATCCATCGACCAAAGCAAGCATGCTGCTGCAGGCCCTAAGGGCTCACAATAGTGCTTGGTGAGGGTCCGAAATCTACAGGGGGGGCAGTCCGTTTTCTGGACTCCTTTTTCTTCCCAATGAGGAGCATCAGGGCAAACTCAGAGATCTTGATTCTCTCGTAGGGCATGTTGCTTCTCTCCAAGAAGGCCACCTCGAGACGCATCAATGTTAAGGATTGCTGTCCACGATTGCACCTCTACACTGCAATCCCTTCTAGACACCACGAGACATCCTGACGGAAAAGGTCCGAATATGTCCAAATAATTAATGTGCGTACTTGGAGGGTGGGGGGCAACTAAAAGGCAAGATAACGATGGGCTAGGTCCATTGTGTTGCTTGAATGGCTGGAAGTACGCTTCCCAAGCCTCCCACTCCGACCCTCCAATTATCAGTATCAACCACTAACCACCCTGAAATTTCTTTTTGGGAGCAGCACCTCATGTACGTAAATCTGATCTCTTCCAGAAAAACCCCAATCTTCTGACTACGACCCACCTCCCCTTCCTGCGAATTGCCAACGGTGCCATCTTGCTTGGTCACAACCACGAGACGGCAATGGCGATAAGCCACACAGGTTCTTTCCTTCCTGAGTTGGGGACATTGGGTGTCATACAAGCCCTAAAGTCCAACCGACCAGGATCCTAGCCGTGCTGGTGGAGGAAAGCAGGTTGTGTTTTCCACATGTGCAGCTACTCCAAACCAAAGGAAATCACAGGTGTCCTTGAGCATACCGTGCCCAGTGTCCACATCTCATACCAGCGGCAGCCCCACGCTGGCCTGATTCTGTACTTCGGATATGGATAAAGCTGATCGCAGTAACATCCGTCACGGTGAATGAAGAATCCATCACCTGAAGCGCTATTCAAGGGATGCTGCCCATAGCCCGGCGACGTTTCAGTAGGCAGGAACACGCAACTTGTGGCGATTGTGCTTCCCTCTTTGAGGGAATCTCGTGTCAGTCGGTTCCATCCATGACCATGCACGCCTGGAAAACTCACGATGGCGACATCAGCAAGCTGAAAGCTCTTGTCTGACGACCCAAGAAAGTCGATCTTGTCACTGGCGTTCAGGTCAAAAATCTCACGAGCAGCATCTGCAAGGCCATATCGCTTGGCGGTCATCTCGACAGCAAACTCATCAATGGCCACGACGCGGACACGCATCCCCTGACTTGCCAGGAACGAAGAGTCCCGTCTCTGCGATTCTCCAATCGACCCATCAATCTTAGTCACAAAAATCAAGCTGCATCCCTTCTCGTGGGCCAAACGAATTTTGTTGAGTGTCAGCGTGTACCACCGGCATCCGAAGTCTGCTTGTTTCCCATAGAGGGTTTGGCAGTGACATATCCCATTGGCGTCGACATCATGGACTCCGTAGCCCTCATCCCCATCGGCAATCCAGTGTCCAGTGGCAGCGAAACCAGCGGGGCCCAGGTCGTCAGATGTGCGGATGATCTCGGCCCATGCATCACCATAGACGGCTGGAAAGCTTACGACCACATCCATTCCCTTCCGAAACCTTTCAACAGCAGTCTTACGGAAATGTCGATCGAGCGGGGAGTCTTGCCAGCACACCTCCTGGAAAAGCTTCCTCACTTCCAGTAAAGTCTCCATGGGGCGTACGTTCGATGACATGTTCGCTAGATTTAGAAGAGACACACACCCAATGCTACAATTTCGCAGTGGGAGCCTCCACTGTTTGAGCCTTGAGCAACGTTAGCTTGTAACATTTAAACATGCTTTCAACCCAGTCCACTTTGCCCTTCCTTTGTTTGGGGATATGTTTAAACGGATATTCAAGCCTTGGCCCTGATCTCTAAACCCCCATACTGTCGAGCATGTCCCACTGACTGGCATGTATCCAGGAAGGGAAAAGCGGAATGTGGGCCGGTTCTGTTAGGGTTTAGCGCTTAAGGTTGGTTTGGGAGAATCTTGGCCACCAGTGGGATTGCATGGGCAGAAGCCGGCTCTGGCCCGACTTCTTGATGTTCGGCTTGCCTTTCCATCTGAGCTGGAGCGGTTTCTGACGCTTGCCTTGAGCTTCTGCATTATACAGGCTTAAGCTTGGCAAGACGAGCTACAAAGTCTCTCTCTCCGGACTACGAAGTTACGTGGTGCCGCAGCCCGGGAGGTCAAGGAATAGCGGTCAGATCTCCCGAGCACCCCTTTTGCGAGCGCAACCCTTGCACATCTTCGGCGGTGCAAACAGTTCCGCCATGAAGCTCATGCACACTCATGCTGCAATGCTACAAGGCCAGGTGCAACCTTATGTCGCTGCATCACAATCATGACAAGGCATGGCCTATTCTGTCAGAGAGGCTCTTGGCAAAGAACGACTTCCACCGAATGACGAGGGATCTTCGACAAACGCAGGCAAGGCTCTTGAAACGGTTGCGCTCAATTGCGGTCGCCATGTGCTGTTCTCAACTTCAAGCCTGCACACTTGAGGACCGAGGAAACGGCTGCACTGCACGAAGTCAATCGCGCAAAGTCCTGTGGACCCTCGTTTTGGTCTGATATCTAGACAGACCAAGGGAAAACGGACCCCCAGGAAACGGCTGCACTGAAGTCCTGTGGACCCTCGTTTTGGTCGGATACCAAAGCAAACGGACCCTTCTGGGCACACGTATGCATGCACCAACGCTGTAATCTGGCTTCTCGGCCGCGTGTGTCTCTACTGTCCGCTTCTTCCTGTGTTAGCGTTTCTGCAGCAGCCACACAGCTGCCGCCGCCGCGCACCAATCTCCGCAAACAATCGCAATGAATGCCAACACATGGTTAGGAAGAAGAAGCCCCCCAAAACCCTACACCCCAAAACCGTAAACCCTAAACCCTCAACCCTATAACGCAATGAATGAACAACATTGTATGATTTCTGGTGACAGGCTCAGAGCTCCGCTGATGACGCCATCGGGGTTGAGCATGGGTACAACCATCCAAACCTCGTTGCACACAAGAATACAATACATAACATTCGCATAGTAGAAGATATAATATAATAAGGTATCATATCATATCATAAATATAATGTCATATCATATAACAATATAACAGAATCAAGCATAATATAATACAATATGCATACAGGTTAGGGCTTCAGGGCGAACACAGCCTTTTTTGGGAGCGTCTGCACGCTTTGTGTCGGTAACATGGGAGGCCGCCGGAAGGAAGGAAGCATGCTCAGCCTCTTGCAAAGTTGTCTCGAAGAACCTGCGCGGTCAGAATCAAACTTCGTGGTCTCTGAACTGGCACACTGACTGAGACTGTTTAGCAACAAACCTAGCACGACCCTAAACCCTAAAACTTAGGAAGCCACCTCAGACCTTTACCCCTTAGGAGTTCCCAAAAAACTCTCAACCCTTCAAAGGGCTTATGTGTATGGTTCCAACCCAGAAGGCATTGAAGCCGAACTCCCACAAAAACACTCAAGATACCCTCATACTCTAATTTCCCGAAAGCACCGACAGCCTCATCAAGCCCTAAACCCGAAACCCTCAAGCCTTCAACCCTCGGCCCAAAACAAGAAACCCAAGCCCAAAGAAACTTTCAAAGTCAAAACTCCAAAGCCCTCCAAGCCCAGAGTCCAAAGTCTCCAGCTCAAACCCTTAAAGCATAAGGTTTCGGGTTTAGGGCTTCAGGCCTTTAAGGTTTAGGGCCAGTTTGGTTCAGCCGTTGCAGTTTAGGGTTTGAAAGCCCTAACCCTCAACCCTAAATCCTAAACCCTAACCCTAAACCCTAAACCCTAAACCCTGAACCCTAAACCCTAAACCCTAAACCCTAAACCCCAAACCCTACCCCAACACCCTGGGACCTGGGCTTCGGCACAGGGTGAGAGGAGGAAGCCAATGAGGCCATGCACCAGCCAACTCGCGTTACCTGGGTTTCGTCAATTTTAGGGTTTAGGGTTTAGGGTTTAGGGTTTAGGGTTTAGGGTTTAGGGTTTAGGGTTTAGGGTTTAGGGTTTAGGGTTTAGGGTTTAGGGTTTAGGGTTTAGGGTTTAGGGTTTTGTAGGCCGAAACAAGGTACCTAATGGTGCCCCCACAACTGTCGAAGGGGAATCCAGCATTCGGGTACCTTATTGGGGGGGGGGGGGGGCTCCTGATTATAAGCGACTCCTACAACTTGGATTTCCGTAAGACCCCACATTCTGCAGGAAGCGCCTCTAACAGTCTTCATGCGCACCGGTCTTGCACCAATGGGTCAAACGGTAGGCAGCTGATATTAGGTGGACTGACTAACAGCAGCTAGTCTGACATCATTCCTAGGCTTTGCAAAGTAGTTTAGGTCAAGGGCGCAGTCTGGGCTAATGATGTCATCCCCGTAGTTGTTGAAAATGCGCTCATCCTTACGAAGCATAGAGTCTTGGGTATAGGGCTCCCTGAATCCAGGCCGGTAGCCGTATACACCCTAAACCCCCAAACCCCCTAAACCTGTAAACCCTAAACCCTTAAACCCTGAACCCTTAAACCCTAAGCCCTAAACCCCCAACCCGAAACCCGGGCCCGAAAATCCTGGGCCCGAAACTCCTGGGCCCGAAACCCGAAACCCTAAACCCTAAACCCTAAACCCTAAACCCTAAACCCTAAACCCTAAACCCTAAACCCTAAAGCCAGTCTGGTGGCTGTCTCGGCTCCGTGGGCCTCTGAGACCCGGACTTTCCCCTGGGTGCACGCGAGAGCTGACCATGACGACCTTGACGTTTGGGATTTGGGGTCTACGGCCTCGGGTTTCAGATTTCAGGTTTGGGGTTTGGGGTTTGGGGTTTAGGATTTAGGATTTAGGGTTTAGGGTTTAGGGTTTAGGGTTTAGGGTTTAGGGTTTAGGGTTTAGGGTTTAGGGTTTAGGGTTTAGGGTTTAGGGTGGGCTCTGCTTATTTGATGGCTTTGCGTGATTTTTTATTGGGGTTTGATTTTTCAAATTGAATTGGGATTTTAGGGATTTCGGTTTATCTTGGGGTGAGGGAGGAAGCCCCAAACCCATGGGCGTTCAACCCCACACCCCAATCCCATACCCTCAACCCGCGAAACTTCACCTCGCAACCCCAGTCCCTGAGCCCTGAACCCTCTAATGCCAAAAAACCGAGATCCTCCTGAACCCCTGAACCCGGACCCCAAGCCCTCAAGAAACCCAAAAAAGAGCGCGCCTTCTTCATCTTCTTGGGCACGGCAGGGTTCGAGATCGCCAAGAGGTCACATCTCGCCTCTGCAGGCATTCTTGGGGCCGTTGCTTAGAAGGCTTCAAGTGGGTTCAGGGCTTAAGGGCTTTGAGTTGAGGGCTTGGGGGCTTATAAGGTTTTAGGGTTTAACATTTGTTACAAGGCTTTTTGCAGGATTCACATCGAGGATTTCACCACCTTCGCAACATGGCCGAATCTCACCCTAAACCCCAAACCCCAAACCCCAAACCCTAAACCCCAAACCCTAAACCCCAAACCCAAAACCCAAAACCGTAAACCCCAAACCTTTAACCCTCTAAACCCCAAACCCTAAACCCTAAACCTTAAACCCTTTAAGCCCCTAAACCCTAAATTCAAAACCCTTGGCCCGGCCCAGCCTCGCCCACCGTGACCGCCAAGCTTTTCAATCGGCAGAAGACCCGCGTGATGGGGTCGCTGGTGGCATGGGTCAGGAAGGACCTGAAGTCGTTTAGGGTTTAGGGTTTAGGGTTTAGGGTTCAGGGTTTAGGGTTTCGGCTTTCGGGGTCTTTCAGGGCTGAAGTCGCTTGGTTCTTAGGCCGGTAGGGGTTTCGGGGCACTACCGACCGGTGGCCGGCGACGCCATGAGGCTCAGGGGTTAGGGTGTAAGCCCGAACATGAACCCTACACTGCCAGGCAGTAGGCTGTGGGCCCGTAGGCCCCACATGGAGGGATTTTCTCACAGTGTAGGGTGTATGACAGGGCTGTAGGGCTGAGGGTCCTCAACAAAGGCCCCCAGAAATGCACCTGAACGGTTTCGATTTTGACCTGGTAACCTTACATGTCACATGTTTGACAAGGAGATGCTCGCCACACAGATATGTTTCACCTCTGCAGTTTGCAAGAGCTGCATCCGATTTCACTCGACTTCTGCCAGATCTTGTAGCTCCTTTCGCTGAACCACGTAGATGCTACAGTGGATGTTCTTGCGTGGTACCACTTGTCTTCTTCTGCCGTTTGTTCTGAACCCCCCACTTCAGGCATCGACTTAGAGTCATGTGTCTTCAAAGACTTCCCTGACAACCTGGAGAAAGGCCTATCCCGAGATGCAGGCCGCAGCATGGAGTACGTGTAGGGCACCTCCGGCAAGGAATTTCAGGGTGAGGGTGGGACGGGGACGGGGTCGAATGAGGAATGTTTGGTTCGTTTAGGGTAGTGTGGTCCACGGATTCCTTGCAGGTGGACCCCAAAGTGCTGTTTGAGGTGTCAAGTGTGTGGGATTAGGGAAGTGTTGTGGGGTGTATAGGCTCAGGACTTTGGAGTCAGCACTCAGCCCCGCGCGTAGTACGCAAAGAACACGCAGTCATTCTTCGACTCGAAGACGTAGTCGAAGGCAAGAGTGTGCTGACTGCCTTGGCAGAAGGACGCCGCCTTGAGCCCTGCACGCGCTTCGCCCCACCATCTCCAATTGCCAAAGACGAACCGCCCCCAACCCACATGGGGGTTTCCGAAATTAGGGTACCTTATTGGGATCCTGAAAAGAGTGGAATCCTACTCTTTGGGGGTCTATTTTAGGGTCCCCTATTTCGTAAACCCTCCTATGAGTCGTCTAGCTGCTAGCTCTGAGGACACCACCGCCACCACTCCCAGGCATTGGCAGCGTCCTGCGCCGCGGCGAAACCCAAACCCAAGCAATCCATCCCAGAACCCTGCACAAGAGGAGGATCACAAAGAAGCATAAAGGGGCCAAAGGCGTTCAAGAGAGCCCTCATACTTTGCGGATGCACCCACCCCCAAACTCGAAGTACTAAACTCTTAACACAAAAACCCTGCAAACCCAAACCCAAAAACCCAAACCCACTACCACCAGGGGAGCCCCACTACCACCAGGAGCCCAATGGCCCAAACACGGCGAGTCCCATGCAGTCCTGTAGTAGCGCACATCCTGTCGTCGGAGCGCAGGGGACGCAGGGGCTCCCCCCAATGTTCCCAATTTACAAGCCGAATAAATTCGACAAGTATCCGTATGCACGTCTACATGCGGTGTGCTTCTTGCAAAATGTACTGGTTATCTTAAGAAACGTTAGTACAGGCAGGTAAGGCTTCCTGTTTAGACACATGCCTCCGCGAACCTTTAAACTTGGAAGCCCCCAACCCAGGAGGACCTAACTTCACCCCCAAGACAAGGGGGGCTCTGTTCAAGCCAAAAGCATGAGGGCTTGTGCAAAGGGTGTATGACCCATTTAAACCCTAAACTTTCTGGAGGGTCCTTCCCCGCGGGCTTCCACAGCCCCGCCACGCCATCAAAAAGCGAAGCCTCACGCTTGGGGGTTTCAGGCTTCGGGGGCTAGGGGTTTTAGGGCTTAGGGTTCAAGGTCCGGCTGTATAAAGGTTTGCGGGTGAATTTCTCGAAGGATTGAGCATTCAGGGGGTTCAGAGGCTTGAAGGGCTTAGGGTGGCTTTTGGAGGGATTTCGAGAAGGTTTTTAGTGCAAAACCCTCCAACACCTGAACTTCTTCAACTGCAATTTGAGCAGACACCAACCCTGTCGACCAAACAAAATTTTCCCCAAACACCACCAGCCCAGCCTCGTAGGTGCGCTTGGAAGCTGACCTCCAGCGCTTCAGGCTGAGGGTTGGCTTAGGGCTTAGAGCTTAGGACTGGATTGAAATGAAATAAGGCTAAATAAGGGGTTTTAAGGGCAACCCTAAACTCTAAGCCGTGACCTCGGATCAAGGGCCTGAAGCTGTGGGTCCCCGGGTTCGCGGATTCGATTTGGGGGATCCCAAGCCCCCACAAATGCCGGTGCGGCCGCAGGTTGATTTTTTTGGGTTTGGGGTCTATAGCGTTCAGGGTTTGGGGTGTTGGGTTTAGGCCCATAACAAAGAGTGCTACAGAAGAGGGCCTTGTAGAACCCAAAAAAGACCTGAATCCTACACCAAACCGAAACCCCCAAACCCTTAGCCCTCTGTGTGAGATCGTCTCGACCATAAACCTATCCATGTCAACGTCAGGCGTGGGAAGCCCTGACCATTCACAAAAGTAGGCAACACTGGGAGCGGGGCCAGGCTCGTCGTGCATTCAATTCGGACCACACCAAGGGACCTCGGCCACGCGCGAAGGCAGGGTTGGGAAGTCAAGTTGGAGGTTTTGGGTTGGGGCTCAGGGTTTTTTGTTGTTTTTTAATGGTTTAGGGTGTATAGGGCCTAGGGTTTACAGGGTCAAGGAAGTACTTGTGCTAGTGAGCAACTGCCCAGCCTGGCAATGGGAGTTCTGTCCATATCCGGGCCCAAGAATCCCCATGCACCCCGCGCGCAGCCAATGCAGTCGTTCCGGACCAGAACCTTGAAGCACCCGAGCCCCAAAAGGAACAAGGTGGCTATAAATCATGAGCCATCCTGCGCCGTTTCTGGCTTGCGGAAGGTTCGGAAAACAAAAGAGAGGTTCAACAAAAGAGACCAGAAATGACCAGAATGAAGATCAAACCTGCCATGCGAAGTCCCCAAGCATCTGCCTTGTTCGAGCTGAGGGCCTGGCGCATGCCCATCCGGAAAAGCGACTTGGATTTAGACCTGTTGGCGTTCAGGGCAGTGGGAAACCAAAAAAAGAAAAGCTGGCAAACTAAGCCGAAAGCAACCCCAGGATTCAGTATCAATATATTCGGCGCATGCAAAAGTGCATTCAATCCCTGAGTTGGGTGAGTTTCGTGCTTTCGCGTCTTCAGTCGCCGCGACGTCCCCATCCGCAGATTCACCCTGAACCTTTGGTTTCGGTCGCAAGGGACATGCCCTGTCCGGCCGACAATTACGGTCCCAAATATTTTGCAGAGCTTTAGCGCCCTTTAACTTCTGGGATTTTACGGCCGCCTAAGCCTCGGAGCCCAAGCCACCCAACTGGCAGCAGGATTTGGTTGATGGGCTTTGGATATGGTTGCAATGATACCACATGAGCAATACGAGCCATACTAAGAATCAGTTCAAGGATTTAAGAACTCAGGTCTTAAAGCGTGCCAGACCTGGCTGTGCACAGCGGTTTGGAGCCTGGGTTTTTGGGGCGCGGTCCCCAACCCGGCCCCGAAAAACTCCCGAGCCCTGCTGATGCTGAGAGCCGCGCATATTCACGATGCGGAGGCGGTATAACCGGCCCGCTTTCGCGTTCCGCACGGCCTCTCCGCCCGCACAGGTCCGCGACCCTAACCAGAACCCAATCCTAACATTCCCAATCAAAAACAATGCACCTTAAACCCTCGCCCTTCACCCTGCGAGGCCCTACATCCAGAAAACACGCTACGGCAGGCTTCCTTTCTTCACACCTCTACCTCAGAAGGCAGAAAAGTCATTGTCAAAACACTTCTTGGAATTATCTTCGGCTTCGCGCCGCCCTCCACCTTAAACCCTCGCATCCTCAAGAGATTTCGGGTCGGCGCCTAGGAGTTTAGGGTTTAAGGTTTAGGGTTTAGAGTTTAGGGTTTAGGGTTTAGGGTTTAGGGTTTAGGGTTTAGGGTTTAGGGTTTAGGGTGCACTGTCTCAAAGGACCCACTCTGAGAGCCCCTGCAAAGTAGAACCACTGGGTGTGGCCACGGCTGCGGATGTCGTTGTCCTCGGCCCGCAGGGACAAGCAAACCGTTGGGTTTAGGGTTTTGGGTTTAGGGTTTCGGGTTTAGGATTTAGGGTTTGGGGCTTAGGTTTAGGGCATAGGGTTCATTGTCCAGTGTCCCAGGAGACTTCTGGGTCTCTAAGCCCTGTATGTGCCTCAGCCCCTACACTAAACCATCCGAATGCCATCGAATCTCCACAGAGACCTGACAAGGCCGGGCGGCAAGAAAAAGCAGGTACTCTTCGGCGCTTTTGTCGAAGAGAACCTAAGGACCCGGCCAGAGTAGAGTTGAGTTGTTCAGGGGCTTTCGGGGCTTTAGGGGCTCTAGGGAGTTTTAGGGTTTTAGGGATCAGGGTTTAGGGTTTGGGGGGTTGCGGGATCGGGTTAGGGGTGTCAATGTTGTCCACAAAGGAGTTCGCCATGTTGCGGTCAGCTGAAAGTTTCTGCGCCAAGAAGGGGCGAACTAAGGCGGGGACGTATCGCAAGTTACCACTCTCAAAGCAGGAGGTGAATTCCAGCAGGTCTTCTGCCAGATCACGCGTCGGCACACCTGGCAATTCCGACCTCATGACCCCCAAGCTTAAACCCTAAACCATAAACATAAACATCCCCAAGCCCGAAAACCTCAACCCTAAACCCTTCAGGCATGTACCGTATAGCGTCTTGGGGCTGGATTTGGGCCGGCAGAGGGCGTTCGACTCGGCAACGACGAGACTGTAAGCTAGTGTGACCTTGCGCAAGGACTACATCTCAGGGTTAAGGGTTTAGGGTTTAGGGTGGATAGAGGAACCTTAAACCATCAAACCCCCAAACCCCCTTGGCCCTGAACCCCGTAACCAACCCCCCCCTGCCAAAGCCCTCAAACCTTCCTAAACCCCCGAAACACCCAAATCCCTTTCATCCCCCAAACTCGGCACCCCTGAAAAACACATGGCCGTGACGCTGCAGCCAAATTCATGTTGCGCTTTGGCAGTCTCCCTGCGTGCACCTCCGCCCACAACGTTTCTTGGGTTTAAACCCTAGGGTTTAGGGTTTCGGGTTTAGGGTTTAGGGTTTAGGGTTTGGGGTTTGGGGTTTGGGGTTTGGGGTTTAGGGTTTGGGGTTTTAAGCCCTGGTTTGGGTTTAAACCGGAGGCTTTGTCGGGGTTTGGGGGCATTGCTGGGGGTTTAGGGTTGTTACCCCGTCGCTCTCCTGCCCATGGATTGTTAGTACTGCTGGTCGGTCCTGAAACCAGCTTCCAAAAGGAAAAGGGGAGAGATGGTGCGCTGGGCAACCTTGAAAAACCACACCCGGAACGGGTCGTAACAGCCATCCTCGTCCCTGATCGGTAAAACATTTTCCCCAAACTACCCCATAAACCCTACTTTAACCCTGTAGACCCGCGTCACCGAACCCCAAACCCTCAGTCAGTAAACCCGCAAACCCTAACACCAGCACCAGCCCTAAACCCTAAACCATAACTAAACCCTCAACCCTAAACCCTAAACCCTAAGCCTAAACCCTAAACACCCCCAGCCAGCTGGGCACCCCACGCGGCTTCTTGCGTAAGCGGGAACCCGGGCGCCCGTCGTCGGAGCCGGCACAGCCGTCGCTCTCGCTTCCTCCAAACTTGAAAGAAAGCCGGATGGGCCTAGGGACAGGCCCGGCTTAGGTTTTTACGGGTTTCGGGTTTAGGGTTTCGGGTTTAGGCTTCAACGGTTGCAAGCTTACAAAGGCCGTTCTTTCTCGGATCTGAGAGCATATCTCCGCTTGAAAGTTTGCGCACCTTGCCGTGCGACGGGTGGCACGGCACTTCAAACGCTGGAGGCCAGGACGACTCTACTCAACTCTTGCTGCTTAAAACAATCCCCGCTTCCATCACCAAAGGAACTCTCAGAGGGCCCAACCACTTAAGGCTCCCACCTGGCCGGCCGGCACCTGCTACGCCCGTTTCGGCTTCCGCACCAGCAGCTCTGGCAGGCCAGGCACTCCACCTTGCCATCTCCTGTGAGCTGCTCGGCGCACTGGGTGGGGCACGGCTGCCCGTCGGCGATGGTGCCGGAGCCACAGGTCGGAAGAGCCTCCAAGGTCTTCAAGGTGGTCCCAGGGGGTACCCGGCGGATCATCCGGTCGAAGACAAGACCGAAGTCGTGGATCCAAAGATTCAGGTCACCCCCATAGAGAGCCACGAGGCCACCATCCCCGTCCACCTTCTCGAAGCATGTGGCGAGGATCCGTGAGCTCTCCGTGAGGCTGCCACAGGGTGAATCCGCCGGGAATGCGACGACCTTGCCCGTGGAATGGTCGACGTACTCGTCGATCTCGCGGAACAGTGACATGTCTGTGTTCAGCATCATGTGGGTGCAGCCTGCACCATCCTTGTCGCAGCTGTGACGCCACTGAAAGTTCCCGCCACCCATCGGAACTTGCTCCCAGCCTTGGCAACGGAACTCCGGCGCACCGCAGGTTACCGGCTCACATTGGCCTTGTACGCAGTCGGTCAATGGCACCGGGTCCATCAAGTTGGTGTAGTACTCCAAATTCAGCTTGTTCTTGCTCTGGGTCCACATGCCCGCGAAGCCCGATGCCGACAGCCGGGCTCCTCCCAAGGTGTGCGCGCCCATGAGGGCGACCACCTCCTGCGGGGTGTAGTTGAACTCATCATGGAAATACTGCATGACATGGCTGCGTGTCGCATGGCCGCCATCGGGGAAGGCCTCCGCAGGAGCGTCCGCCGGGTCCCCGGTGTAGGTCTTGCGGCCGAAGGTGATGGGAATCTCCGGGATCACATCCGTGTCCTGGAGCGCGTTGACTCCCTGCTGCTTGGCGCCAAAGGTCACGGCAGCGATGTAGGCCCAGGCATAGAAGTCGGCCTTGCTGAGGACAGCCTTGAGAGCATCACCGGAGCTCCTGAGCTGCCGGTTCTCATACATGCGATCCAGGACAATGGTCGCTGAGTCCAACTCGTTGTTGTCAAAGAGGCTCATGTCAACAAACCCATCCATGAAGCCGGCGGCATCGTGGAAAGCCAAGCGCAGCAAACGGGATCCCAGCGGCTTGGGGTTCCGGATCAACGGGAAGAGGCGGCAATCATTCAACGAGTCCACCCAATCCCAAGAACCACGGCTGCAGGTCGAATCCTCAATCTCCTGCCAGACCAAAGCCTCTACATCAAGGTAGTCTTGGTAGGTGGGATCCCGGTTCGTGTAACTCCGCAGCTGCATCATGGCATGGCCCTTCGTGCATGAGCTGCGCCCTGCACAGGTCCCGGATGTCCCGGAGTTGCACGCCGCGGTCACCAAACCCACAGCCCAAAGAAGCAGACGCATTGGTCAGAGATTCTCAGTAAGGAGCGGGAAAGGTGTCTGAGCCAACAGCCTGTGAAGGTCACCTTTGAAGTCAACTAAACCGGTTCAGAAGAACGGCCACACAGAGAGCGACTTCGGCACAGAACAGCACAAGTAGTGCAAACTGCACTTTTCCCACCCAATATCGCCCAATGATGTGCAAACATCGTGTCGCAAGTGTTCTATGGCCTGCTCCCAGGCATCCTAAACCCTAGAACCCCTAAAGCCTCCTAAAGCCCTAAGCCCCCGCTGAAGCCCTGAAACCCGACTCTCTGAAACCAAATCCTCACCAACTCAACCGCTCTGCCTGAGTCACTCATGGGAAGAGCCGGGACGGAGGACGCCTCCGGTGAACATTTTTGTTGGGGGAAGCGCCTTGTGGGGACCAGGCTGGAGGTCAGGGTTGACCCTAACCCCTAAAAGTCTCTGACCAACCCTAAACCCTAAACCCTAAACCCTAAAGCCTAAACCCTAAACCCTAAACCCTAACCCTTAAGGAGGGTCAGGGTTTTGGGAAGCTTCGGTCTTTTTGGCCCAGCGCTCTTTGGGAGCCCCTGAAAGCTCTAAATCTAGGGTTAAGGGTTTAGGGTTTAGGGTTCAGGGTTTAGGGTTTAGGGTTCAAGGTTTAGTGTTTAAGGTTTCAGGTTTAAGGTTTAAGGTTTAAGGCTTAGGCGCTTTGAGGGTTCTTGGGTTTTGCGGCTTCAGGGGGCTTTGGGTATGAGAGGTTCAGAGGGTAAGAAGGTCAGTTGGAACAGTGATCTGCCCTTGGGTGTAAAGAGAAACGAGCTTTTCTCTGCAAGGGTTGGTTGAGAGATTAAAGTTGGAATCACCCTAAGCCAGGCCCCTCCCCCCCCCCCCGGCCCAAAAAATGAAAGGAACAGCGGCTCAGGAAGCGAAACGAATTCGCGAAGACACAGTCAGATACTGAGAGACGATTCAGCACACGGTCGTAAATAAGATGAAGCAAGTTTGCTTCCCCACCCTCAAGAAGCTCTTCCGGCCCCAAGCCCTAATGTCGAAGGCCCGAGGCATCGACCCCTCAAGAGCAAAAACTCCCAACTCTCTCTCCCCCCTCCAGTCCAGACTTGGAAGTGAGGAACCCAATACCCTAAACCCCGAAGCAACACAAGGGCCCTATGGCCTCCAACCCTACCCAAACTCGAAACGAGCTCATTTCACGCCATGCTGCTTCTTGGGTGTTTAGGGTTTAGGGTTGAACTGGCTCGGCCCGTTTACTGATTCTTGTGAAGCCCGGGCCCGGTTTCCGACTCTTGTTCGTCTTTATTCAACCCCTGCAAGCCCTGCCTCAGGAGCCGCGTAACGCCAACCCCCTGCCGCGGAGAGCACGTCGCCATACTTGGGCCTGTGGCTAGGGATTGACATCCCTGAGTTCTAATCGAAGCCGTGAACCCTACAAGCTGTACATCCTATAAATTCCAAACCCTATGTAAACCATCATCATTATAAACCCTACGTTGAGCTCTATAAACCCCAGAATCCCTAAGAACCCAAAGCCCAGCAAACCCTCAAAAACTAAGCCCGAAACCTGCAAACCTTCAAACCCTGCACCGTGAACCCCAAACCCTAAACCCTAAACCCTAAACCCAAAAAAACCTAAACCCAAAACCCAAGACCCCAAACCCTAAACCCTAAATCCTAAACCGAAACCTCCGCACTAAACTTCTCCCCCCAGAAGCTGCAAGACAAGGCAATCAGCCCTTGGCCTTGGGGGCCAGAAGATGGAGCCTGCGAGGGTTTAGGGTTTAGGGTTTAGGGTTTGGGGTTTAGGGTTTAGGGTTTAGGGTTTAGGGTTTAGGGTTTAGGGTTTAGGGTCTAGGGTTTAGGGTTTAGGGTTTAGGGCTTAGGGCTCGGGGCTTGGGGCTTAGGGCTTAGGGTTTGGGGTTTAGGGTCGAAGCTTCACAAAAACGCTAACTTTTCTGGCTGAGGGATGTTTGGTGTTGAGGGATTCGAAGGGCTGATGGGGTTTAGGGCCGTTTAGGTTTTTCTTTTGGGGGGGGGGGGGGGGGGGGGCGTTTTAGGATTCGGGATTTAGGGTTTTGGGTTTTGGGCTTAGGGTCCAGGATTGCTTCTGGCTCCCTGGCGTTCCTTCGACGGATCCTGGGTCTTGCCTCCCAAAGAATTCACCCTGACCCTGCTTTTTGGGCCCCAAACCCTAAACCCCAAACCCTAAACCCTAAACCCTAAACCCCCCGAAAAAACAGGCGAAAACATCAAGAAAAATCAAAGCCGCCTGGAGGCGGCGGTGCCCCAAAGGGCCGCTGTGGGCCCCCCGACGAGGGCGACCCACTGAGCGGCGACAGGCCCTGGAGAGGGTTTAGGGGTCTAGGGGTTTAGGGTTTAGGGTTTAGGGTTTAGGGTTTAGGGTTTAGGGTTTAGGGTTTAGGGTTTAGGGTTTAGGGTTTAGGGTTTAGGGTTTAGGGTTTAGGGTTTAGGGTTCAAGGGCTGAGGGTTCGTAGGGCATATAGGCTTTGTAGGATATTTCGGGTGTATGGGGTTTATGGAGTTTATAGGATTTTTAGGGTTGAGAGTGTGAGGTCGGGGCGTTTTTGGGGGCGACCAAAGGTTGCTTGTGCGCGCCTCCTCCCCGTCGCCGGGCTCCTCGCCCACCGGCTTCGCATAGCCTGCTGCAGACTTTCGGTCATCTGGGGGTTTCCGACAATAAGGGTACCCGTTTTCAATTTTGGGGGGGGTCCCTTCAAGGGATTCTATTCTATTTGGGGTATCAAGCCCACATGGCGCCCTGTAAGCAGATGATGCATCAGATTATCGACGTTCCTGCAGAACAAGGACGAGTTTCACAGGTTTGAGGGGGGTTAGGCCGTGGCATCTTGTCCTTGGAGGATCTATTCATGGAATCTGAATCTGTAGGACTCTAAAGCCTTGAACGCCCCCTGCTCCCCCTCACTGTGAACAGCAAAGGCAACCTCCCCTTCGGCCAAGAGGCAGAGCACCCGCCCCTCCAGGAGACAGTCTGCTAGCTTCAGGCCGGATGGCGCTGGGAAGCCCGGTGGAGCCTCCTGGCAAGAGTGAGGGCTGGACTCTGGGGTGCCTTTATACAGGGGGGTGATGGGGATGACATACGCAGATCTGTCCTCACCCGTGGCCAGGTAGCTGGAGATGTCATGCTTCAAGGCATCCACAAAGCCTTGGGAGAAGGCTCTGGGCGATGTATCAGATTTGGGGCCCTGAACCCTCAAGCCCTGGAAACCTCAAGCCCTGAAGCCTCAACCCTCTTGAGCCTCTCAACCCTACAGAGCCTCGCAACCCTAAACCCCGCACCCTGCACTCCAAGATCCAAACCCGCAACTCCGAAATCCAAACCCGAAGCCTGAGCCCAAAACCCTAATCCGCCAAAGAAAGCCCTACCCCCCCCCTTGACCAAAGAAGCCTTCTGAAGCAGTTTCAGGCTTATGGGGGTCTTTTACAGCCTCCCGCCCCCCCCCAAAACCCAAAACCTCAATCCGACTCTTGCCTGTGGTCTGCTGGCCGAGCGGCCGAGCCTGTCCTGCAGCACTTCGCTACCCATGTGCACCTCGGGCACACGAGCTTGCAAGGCTGGGGGGTGTGGCTTCGGGGCGGCTTGAGATTTCTTTTGGGGGGGGCTTTCGGGTTTGGTTTAAGGGGTGTAGGGGTGTTTAGGGGTGTTTAGGGGTGTTTAGGGGTGTTTAGGGGTGTTTAGGGGTGTTTTTTGGGGACGTTTAGGGGTTTAGGGGCTTCACACCCTGGCTCCGACTCCGTCAACCTCAACTTCCCGGCTTTTTGAGGCTTCGGCCTCACCATCGAAGGCTCAGAGGTCCCATGTCGCCCCCAGAAAGTTGCAATGTCAAGGACAGGTGTAGAGAACTCACACTAGGGCTCATAGGGCTCACGTAGGGCTCACGTAGGGCTTACGTAGGGATGCGCAAAGGGCTCTTCACTTCAGTTCTCATGCCTTGTCCTCTTATCAGGGCGCTGGGATGCACGAAGGCGGTGCAGGGCTTTCTGATCTGTGAGGCTCGCTGCTTGGGCTTCGATCTGGGTAGGGTTAAGTCGGCTATGTGCTTCGGCCGCTACATCTCACAACTGCCGCGGCTTGTTGAGCTGTAAGTGCTGGCAGAGTCCTGCGCCTCTGAATGCAGAAGGGTCCAAAGAGATGCTGGGACATGGAAGCTCCATTGGCAAACGACAGAAGCCACGCATACCGCAGGAATTGAGGTCCCAGGCCCGAGGTCCAAGCAGAAGGATTGGGCGAGGGGGGGTAAGTTTCGGGTTGAGCTTGGTGTGCATGCGTCTTCGACGTGTCTTCAACAAGGTGACAAACCTATGAACATGCGGTTCTACTCTTCCCGGGCTGGTCACCTTCTCAGCTTTTTTTTTCCGAGTCGGCAGTGAAGCTTGGAGGAAAGGCTCAAGAGTCCGAAAAAAGAGTCCGCCAACTTCTCTTGAGATCTCCTCCGCAGGGGGCCGAAAGTGTCCGAAACAGTTTCGGCGCTGGTTCGCCCGCTGCGCGTAAAGGGCCGAGATCTTTGTCTTGGTGAGAAACACGCGTCGCTACATGAGTCTGGGGCGCCTTTTGTGCCTAAGGCGCAACCTGCAAACCGGTGACTTTCTCTCAAGAGACCGTCTGCACCGACAGGAGGTCGGTCCTGCACTCAGGCGAGCTCATGGATCTCAGCGCAGGCCTGCACGACGTAAGATAGTGCCATCGACATCCATCGACATATATCGAGTCAGCTGAGCTATGAGCTGCGTTTCAACTTATTGTCCTTGTCGCCCATGTAGGCTGATGCAAAATCAGGGGCTTGGATTTTTGGACTTTAGAGTTAAAGGGTCGAGGGTTCATAGGATTGAGGCGTTGCCTGCGCGGCGGCTGCACGGCGTCGATGGCAGAAGAGCGGCGCGGCGTGCAAGAACTGGCCACCTCACAGCGTCTGCCACCGTTGAGTTCCGCCATCGATGTCAGGACCTGAAGACTTGGTTTCCGGATGCACTCTCCGAGATGTGCATGGCTTGGCGTTCGTCGGGGGATGTCGGGGGGGGTGGGGGGGGGGCATCAGACGTGAAAAGACACAAAGGAAAGTCAGAATTGGGCATTCTGGCGGCATTCTGTCGCCCATGGCTTCGTTGGACTCCCAAAGAATGTTGCCGCCTCGAGGCTCACGAAGGGCGAGCATTGGCTGCCGTCACCTGCATCTCTGAAACCCTCCAACCTCAAACCCTAACCCTAAGTCAACACCTGCCGGGAGATTATGATTCAGCAGCTTCAGCCCCTGAAAACTCTAAACGGGTTTCCGTGCTGGTAGAAGTTCAGGGTTTAAAAGATGGGCCCAGAACGTAAATCGAGGCCATGCTGCTCTAGCAGCATGGGGCGTTTGCTTCGTGGATTGGGTCATTGCGGTCTTTGCTGTTTGTAGGATGTGGCCTCTTTGGTGCTCTCGACATCCATGGGAGCATCTGACAACCTTCGAGTTCAACGCTTGGACTTGTAGCGTCACAGAACAGACCTGCCCATAATTATGTAGAAAGATGCGACACCCCTATATACCATCAACCGCCACCCCACCAACAAAAAACATGAGAACACCCCACCACCCCAACCCCCTCCAACCCTAACCCTAAACCCTAAACCCTAAACCCTAAACCCCTTCAAGAAAAAGAGGCGTGGCCTCAGTCGGGGAGGCGGCCCTCCACAAAGTGCAGGCTTTGGAGCGCCTCAATCAGCTCCGGGGGCAGCGGGGCCTCGAGGAGGACCTGCGGCTCTTTGTGTGGGGGATGAATTTTGGGGGTTTAGGGTTTAGGGTTTAGGGTTTAGGGTTTAGGGTTTAGGGTTTAGGGTTTAGGGTTTAGGGTTTAGGGTTTAGGGTTTAGGGTTTAATATAGAGTCTAGGGTTTAGGGTGTCCTGATTAAGGCGCCATGTCTACTTTTCTCAAGGGCTTTGTGTCTCAAGATACCCCTCCGCAAGAGACAAGCGCCCCCAGCAGCAAAATTCCGGCCTTGCGGGAGAGACCGAAGAGCCGGATGCGGCGGCAGTGCAGGAAAAGCCGGCGGCACCAGGGAACCCTTTCGGGTTTCGGGTTTAGGGCTTAGGGTTTAGGGTTTGGGGTTTAGGGTTTCGGGTTTAGGGTTTAGGGTTTGGGGTTTAGGGGGTTTGGAGTTTAGGTCGGGTAGATAGGGGTTAGGGCCGCTGGGAGGGCCGGGGAGGGTGAAGGGCTCAGGAGCTTTGGGAGCTTCAGGGAGTTGAGGGGATCAGGTCAGGCTGGGACACTAAAGCAAATCTTGCGGTGGGACACTAAAGCAAGTCCTGCTTCCTCACTGGGTGGGACACTGAAGCAAATCTCTCGGTGGGACACTACAGCAAATCCTGCTTCTTCATGAGACCTCCTGGGTGGGACACTGGAGCAAATCTTGCGGTGGGACGCTGAAGCGAATCCTGCTTCCTCATGAGACCTACTAGGTGGGACACGAAAATATATCTTGAGGTGGAACACGAAAACAATCCTGCTTTCTTATGAGACCTACTGGGTGGGACACTAAAGCAAGTCGTGGGACACTAAAGGATACGGTCCGTTTGAGCGGTGCTTTGGCTGTTGCAACGGGGCCTCCAACTCCCCAAACCCTTAAACCAAGGTGCGGGCCACCATCCCCGGCCCCAATAAGTTACAAGGCCCACTTTTTGGGAGACTTCAGAAGGTGCACGAGCTCACAGCTCACAACCCTTCCGGGAAAAAAAATCCGAATCCTCAACCACATCAGACCCAGCGATCCTCGTGGCCCCGTAGAGGTGGTCCCCGACCTCAAAAAAGCTGGCCGAGCACGTGCTGGTGGCAAGCGGGAGAAGTCGGAGTTCTTTAGTCTTCACGGACTCAGGTCTCTCGGTCTTACGGCTATGCGACAGAGCCACCAGCGGAGCACCCTCAGCACAAAGATGGGCGCGAATCTGATGGAGACGACCTGCGCGATGCTACGACCCTCACAAAAAAAGGGCACTCAGCTTGGTTGGTGTGAGGCTATTTTGGGCCTGCAACTACAGAGTAACATAAACCCTGTTTCATATGAGGTTAAGGGCCAGTTCAAACTTTTTTGGGGGCTGCTTGGGCGCACCTGTGCGCGGTCGCACCTCGAGCAATGACAGCTGGGAGGAGGCCTCAAGGGCTTCAAGTCGGGACGCTTGAGGATGTGAACCCCAAACCCTGAACCCTAAACCCTAAACCCGAAACCCTAAACCCTAAACCCTAAACCCTGAACCCTAAACCCTAAACTCTTCAGGACATGTCAGGACGAACGTTGGGGCTTCTGGAACCTGGCGCGTAACTGGACGAAAACCTGGGGCCTCATCAGCCAAGACTGAGAGGACCGTGAAGTCGGTGCGTGCGCTCTTGCCCTGGTTGGAAGGAACAGCGCGGCTGGTGGTGGGGCTTGTGGCCACCACTTGCAATGGGATTGCCACAGTAGCGACTGTGCCAGGTGCACCCAGTCGGCCCTGGCAGAGGCAGAGGTATTCCTTTCGTACGAGGGAACCAGAGGCGAACTGGGCCAGGTACCAGCGCGCTTCGGGGCTAGCTTCGGTGCCCAATGCAGCGGGCAGCACGCCCGAGGTGGGCAGGTCCAGCCGCGACACGGCAAAGAGCGGCGTGGAGCACGAGACGGCCATCATCGACAGCGCCTGCTCCGAGGCGAGGCCCGCCGGCTTCGCGAAGGCCACGAGCCCCTCTCCGCGGAAGAGCACGGGGAGCGGTGGAAGCTCACCTCCGCCTCCGCCGCCTCCTCCGCTGTCGCCGCCTCCCGCGAACTCGTGCCTGGCTTTGAAGTCCGGGTCCGGCAGGTTCTTTGTGCTTGGTGTGTCCTGACCGTCCCAGACGCGGTAGAAGTCCCGTAGGAGGCCGAGGGAACGCTCCCAACAGCTCTCCTCGGACATGGCTTTGAGCACAGACCCCACGTGCAGGCCGTGAGGTGTCCAGCTCTGCTCCAAGCAGCGGGCCAGCAAACAGAGGGCCGACTCCCAGTGACCACATTCACAAGCAGCGAGGGCCCCGGCCAGAGTGATGAAATCCATCTCCAGGCCAGTCTTCTCGGCCTCTTCAAGTAAGGACAGGGCCTCCCTCCATCTTGCTGCACCGTAGGCATGGATGGCGGCGTTGATGGTGATGATGGATTTCGGCACACTGGCAGATTCCATGTCCGCCAGGATCCCGAACACCGCATCCAAACCCTCGCAGGCCCGGATCGCTGCGTTGAAGGTGACCTGGCCATTGCTTAGGAGGTTGTGGGGATGTAGTGATGTAGAGGGCTTGGGGGCTTGTCAAAAAAACATCAACTGCGCAAAACAAAAGCACAAAGTTGAGCCCGCCTCGTTGGGCTTCACACTCCGTGTGGCCATCTCCTGTAGATTCGCAAGGGCTCCTTCCCAGCGAGAGGCCCGCTCGCACGCGGTGACGCACACGCTGAAGCTGAAGGTATCCGGCTGAAGGGCCTCCCCGCGCATGTGCGCGAGCAGGGCGGCGCCTTTCTCCCACTGACCTGCGGCAGAGCACACGCCCAGCACCTCAGGTTGAAGATGCTTTCGAAGGCGGAAATCTGGGCGCCACCTAGGACCCAGCAGCTTGCAAAAAGTGAGGTAACAGTGAGGTAAAGAAACCCCCCAAATCTGCCAAGCACCGTGTTGAAGAGCCGAACATCTGGAACAATCGCAAAGTCCGGAAGCGCCCCGAGCAAGCTCATGGCCACCGTCCACCTCCCACCTGCAAATTCTCCCCGGGCTCGTCTCAAGAAGTGCCAGGAAACTATATTGGTATCCAGGGAACTGGAAAAATTGTTGTGCCCAAAGTTCCAAAGAGGGATTGTAAGCACAAACAAGTTCGCAAGCAACTCACATAAACCCTGCAGGTTGAACTGGCCGCCACATGTTCATTTTTCCAGGCCAAGTTGCAAGTTGAAACTTTAGTCAGGACTTGCAGCAGATTTGTTCTGGGAGAAGCACTCTCCGAGTTTCCAGACATGTTGGAAAAATGCAAGAACTTACAGGAAATCCTAGCCCAGGACGCAAGCAAAACTACCACGGCGAAGCCTTTTTCCGACTCCTCTACACTGCTGCTCTTCTGCTGGCCATAGGGCTACAGCCATCAAAGACCCCCCCGAATGCGTCACAGGGCCACTTGCGCCAAGCGGGAGCTGCATTCATAGAAGGCATAGGCTCCAATGCTGTTCACGAAGTCGGTTTTGCCTTTATCGAGCTGCAGCCAAAAGAAAGGCCTCCGTTCCAATGTTGGTCACCGAGCTGGGGATGTCGACTTCTGTGAACTGCGGCCATGCAAGGGCCCCACTTCTAATGCTGGTCACAGAGTTGGGGTCTTCGGGAACTGCAGCCAGCAAAGGCGCAGCGCAGAGATATTTCGATTTGTGTCAAAGAGCTGCAACCATGAAAAGCCTCTGCTCCAATGCTTGTCACGGAAATGGGAACTGCTCCTGTGGCACTCACAAAACTTTCCAAAGGTTTCCTCTAGACTTCAGGCTTGCTGCCGGCCAAAAGCGAAGGGCTGCAACCTTCAAAGACACCGCTCCCAATGCTGCTCACAGAGTCAGGGATTTCCACTTCATTGAGAGAAGTGCATTCAGCAAAGGCCCCGGCATGAATGGTTGCCATGGAGTTGGAGATTCCTACTCGTGTGAGGGAGCTGCAGCCACGAAAGGCCCAATATGCAACGTGGGTCACGGAGTTGGGGAATTCCACTCGTGTCAGGGAGATGCAACCCATAAAGGCCTCGGGTCCAATGCTTGTCACAGAGTTGGGAATCTCCACTTGTCTCAATGAAGTGCATTCAGCAAAGGCCCCGCCTCGAATGCTTGTGACAGAGTCAGGGATCTCGACATGTGTCAGGGAAGTGCAGCGAGCAAATGCATGAGATCCAATGCTCACCACTGAATTGGGAATCATAACTTTCACCAACACTTTGCAACCACTAAATGCTCGATCTTCAATGCTTGTGGTTTCAGGTGGAATCTGCACATAAAGATCTTCACCTATCTCCTCACCTGTCCAGCTGGCCATTTCAACAAAGGGGTCCGACCAAAGAAGGGAAATTTCAGCTCCATCTTCCAAGCCAGCTTCGCTCACCGTCATATCAGGCTCAAGCACAGTCACTCCATGAATCAAAGTCGCTTCGCGATCTCGAACAACACCATCTTCGTCAGACTGCTGCATAATTTCTCTCACCGTTGTTGTGTCCACCACAGAAACCGTCCACTGATCTCCATTTGGGCTCGTGACCCACAGGGTCTTTTGCGCCATGGCGGCACTTGGCGCGTCCGTGACTTGCATCCTACAGGAAAAGCACAACCCTACAAAACTGATGCGGTAGACTGGAGGACGTTGCAAGGTCTTATTTGAGGAAGTATCAAAAGAGATCAATCAAATTTGAATCATTTGTGTGTCAATCTGAGAAAATATCTTTTTACCCTCGGACTCTAAGCCAAGAAGAATCTTGATCACAACACAATCCAAGAACCCTTGTAAAAAAAGACAATTCCCAGAGAACCCCTTATTGTTGTGTTGTTTTTGCATTTTTGGGTAAATGTTTGAACAACACTTAACTAGACACGGCTAACAACTAAAACTCAGGCAACTCAAAGCAAGCCAGGATCTCCGACAGCCACTTTTCCTCCTGAGATCTCAAATGCTGATGAAAAGTGGGTGAAATCGTCGTTGCTCCTGTGGCATTCTACCGGTTTTCTGTGGTTTTTCTAGGGTTTTCAGCGGTTTTTCTAGGGTCTATTCTAAACCTCAGGCTTTCTGCCAGCCACGAGCGAAGGGCTGCAACCTTCAAAGACATCGTTCCCCATGGTGGTCACAGATTCGGGAATTTCCACCTCTGCCAGGGAACTGCAGCCATGAAAGGCTCGGTCTCCAATGGTGGTCATTGAGTTGGGAATTTCTACTCGCGTCAACGCGCTACAGCCATGAAAGGCCATGCCTAAAATGCAGGTCACGGAGTTGGGGATTTTGACCTGTGTCAAGGAACTGCAGCCACTAAATGCACTAGGCCCAATGATGTTCACAGAGTCGGGAACGTCGACTTGCGTCAGGGAACTGCAGCCTGCAAAGGTCATGAATTCAATCCTCTTCATAGAAGTAGAGAGTCCCACCTGCTTGAGCGACCTGCACACATGAAATGCCCCGTCCGCAATGCTGGTCACTGAGTTGGGGATTTCTACTTCTGTCAGGGAGCTTTGAGAGAAGGCGCCAGGTCCAATTCTGGTCACAGAATTGGGGATGTTGATGTGTTGCAGGGAGCTGCAGCCATGAAAGGCCCTGTCTTCAATGCTTGTCACAGTATCGGGAATCACCACTTTCACCAAGTCCTTGCAACGACAAAATGCCTCTTCATCAATGCTTGTGGTCCCAGGTGGAATCCGCACATAAAGAGGCTGATCCGTTTTGTCACCTGTCCAGCTGGCCATCTCAACAAATGGGTCGGACCAAACCAGGGAAATTTCAGCTCCATCTTCCAAACCAGCTTCTCCCACGGTCATATCGGGCTCAAGCACAGTCACTCCATGAATCAAAGTCGCTTCGCGATCTCGAACAACACCATCTTCGTCAGACTGCTGCATAATTTTTTTGACCTTGGACTTGCTTCAGAAGTAGAAAAAAGATCTCTCGAAGGCCCTTAAGAAAAGCCATTAAAAACAAACACAAAAAAACACACAAAAAAACAAAAAGCAAAGCCATGTGACAGTCGTTGTATCCTGCACAGAGACCATCCTCTGATCTCCATCTGGGCTGGTGACCCGAAGCCTTTTTGCCATGGCTGGTGCTGCGAATCTACTTGATTGGAAACACCCCATTTAACTGACTCAGTGATTGTGGCCAAAGGAGGTTTATCAACAACGTAGCTACGAGCAATTGGCTCGATCAGCCAAGAGTGAGCGGCGACAACAGGAAGAGTTTGCGTAATCAGCGCACACAAGATATAGCAAGGTGAACAGCTTCTCCAAAGTCCGAAACCAACACCGATTTCCTTTTTCTTCGCCCTTTCAAAACATTTGTCAACTGGAAAGTCGTCTGCCCCAAAATGGATGAGAAGTACTTAAGGAATATTCCTTGAAATACCAGGCTTCCTTATATGGTTGAAGGCATACGCCCTAATTAAGGGGTATTGGAGTCTCTGGGTACCTCTGACCCACTGACATACCTGAAATATAGCGTCTGCGATGCAGAGTTGCCACTAGGACCCAGAAGATGCCAGACGTCCCGTGGACCTTGGACCCTCTGCACATGAAGCCCTTTATGGAACCCAAGCCCTCAACCTCCAAATAGATAGGGTTTAGGGTTTGGGGTTTGGGGTTTGGGGTTTGGGGTTTAGGGTTTAGGGTTTAGGGTTTAGGGTTTAGGGTTTAGGGTTTAGGGTTTAGGGTTTAGGGTTTAGGGGGTTGGAGGAGGGTTTTGAGGATTGGGGGTTTTAGAGTTCCAAGGTTGAAAGGGCTTAGCGGGCTCAAATCTCTTGGAGTAGTGGAGGGCCTGGTTCGCAGGAACGAATCAGGGCATCGAAGACCAAGGCGTCTGTTGGAACCAGCTGGGAAGACATGTCCTCCGCAGAGCGGTCATGCACCCTGGCCCTACACACCGGAAACCAGGCACCCCAAACACCCCACAATGCTCCAAACGCCCCAAACGCCCCAAACGCCCCAAACGCCCCAAAACGCCCCAAAACGCCCCAACGCCCCAAACGCCCCAAACCCCCCAAACGCCCCAAAACACCCCAAAGGCCCCAAAGTCTTCAGAGGAGTTCAACAGGCCTCGTGCAGCACGAGCGCCGTCTCCCACTGGCCGGCACGTGCACAGGCCGTCATCACGGAGCCACACAGGATTGTATCACATCTGAGGCCGCTCTCCCGGAGATCCTGGCTGGGGTTTAGGGTTTAGGGTTTAGGGCTTAGGGCTTAGGGCTTAGGGCTTAGGGCTTAGGGCTTGGGGCTTAGGGCTTAGGGCTTAGGGCTTAGGGTTTAGGGTGGCCGGGGCTTGGCTTCGGTTCTAGGGTTTTGGGCTCAATGCGGGTTTCCGTTATTAAGGGTACCTTATTGGGCATCCCGAACATAAGGGGGGTCCTACTTTTTGGGGGGTCTACATGAGCGGTCCCATATTTTCGTAAAGCCCCAACGCGGCTGAATGCTGATACGAAAAACATCGACACTCTGGAGGCCCACCGAGAAGCTACAACGCAGCTCAAATGGAACCCTAGACCCTAAACCCTAAACCCTAAACCCTAAACCCTAAACCCTAAACCCGCACATGATGCCATACCGACTATTGGCTCAGAACGCCTGAAAAAAAACGCTCGAAAGCAAGAGGCTGCAATCAGCACACCCTGCCACTCCAGCCGGATCCCCCAAAGTCATCACCATCGCGCAAAAGCCTGAAGACAACACCCTATACACGGGCAGCCCTGAACCCCTAAACCCTAAACCCCACAACCCTGAACCCCAAACCCTAAACCCTAAACCCCGAAAAAGCCCCGCTTAAACCCCAAAAAATATCCTGGAGGAGGCGCAGGGCCGTCGGCCACTGCCGCCCGAGTGCAGCCGCCCGGATGCCCGAACTGTAGCTGACCACCGACTTCTCGGCCTTGGGGATTTAGGGTTTAGGGTTTAGGGTTTAGGGTTTAGGGTTTAGGGTTTAGGGTTTAGGGTTTAGGGTTTAGGGTTTAGGGTTTAGGGTTAGGGTTTAGGGTTTAGGGTTTGGGTTTAGGGCTTGGGGTTTGGGATTTGGGGTTTGGGGTTTAGGGTTTGGGGTTTGGGGTTTGGGGTTTGGGGGTTTGAGGTTTGGGGTTTGGGGCTTCTGGTCTTTCTTGGTCTCTGTGTTCCCTTTGTGGGGTTCCCCCCCCCCCTTGTGCTCTCGGAATGCTGTTGGACATGACAGAGACAAAGCTCCAACGACAGGTTCCCGCAAAGACGGAGCCGCGTCACTGACATCTCATGCAACAGGTGCAGCGCCCACTGCCACTGGCCAGCCTTCACCAGGCTGTCCATGCCCGAATTCAAAAGCGCAGTCGAAAGCATGCCAGTATTGCCAGACTTGCCAGAGTTGTCAGCCTCCGCTGCACACAACAAGGCGAGAACAGACTCCCAGGCAGACGGCACTCCACAGGCACCAACGGCAGCCCCAAGGAGGATCTGATCAAACGGCACACGAGCCCACGACAGTCTTCGAAGAGTGTGGAGTGCTTCTTTCCACTGCCGTTGTCGGCCCAACTGTGCCACCGATTTCGTTGCAGCCTTTACATTCAACGTATCCGGCCTCTCCTGGAGGGTCATAGCGGCCATCCATGCGAAGCGAGTTTGGCGAAAATGCTCAAGCTATCTCCATGACTATTTCAAAGCCCTCACTTCCGGTTTAAACGACTGCGATACAGATGCCTGCTATGCCTGCTTTTGGTGCTACCACCAGCGACTGCGGAACTTGCTTCAAGGTAGATCTCTCCCCAATGGCACTTTCAGGCAATACACTCAATACATTAAGTACCGATAACGCTGAAGAAGACTCTGCATAGGTGCACGGTTCAGTCCAGTCGAAGTTGTGGCCTAGGGGTATAAACTAACAGTACCTTGCGCCCTTCCCATTTTTGTGCCCAAATTAATTCCTCGAAACGAAGATGCACCAGAACATGTATGCGAGTCATTTTACTTCCCTCTGCCGGATTGCCGCGCCAGGCCTGGTCTGTGCCAGCGCTTACCCAGTGCATTGGCAAGGGCCTCATCTGAAGCACTTGCTGACGGCGCTCCGCAGCCTGCCGAATCCAAGGCCAAAACTCTCTGCAGATACAACCCCCCCATGTAAACCCCAACAAATCGTAGCTTAGGCCTGGTGCCGGATATCGCATACTATGCAGGTAAAGGTTCGGAGCAAGCAGGTGCTGTGCCTGACACGACGGCATGGAATGAGACATGCAAGGGGGTACAGGGAGTTCGGATGTTGAGGTCACAAAGCAACACTGAGTGCTGTAGCGCCTGAAAATCCCAAGGATCGCAGCAAGATGCATCATAGTTCACCAATGCTGCAAATTCCCGGCGTGCCAGCTCTTCTGCAGGTTTGCTGTCTGCCACTATTGGCATCTGCGTCATGGCAGGACACGAATAGTAAATCTCAAACCTAAGCAAACAAAGGCAGCATTCCGAACTAATCGAATCAGTCGTCATGCAAGCGAGAGGTTCACTGCAAACATGAGGTTTGGTCCCCGTCCCTGTAGACCACAGAACTTGATACGTAGGCAATCGTTCACAGAAGTCTCGGAGACACGTGGCCCCTCCCTGACAACTAAATCTGAATATGGAAGATAGAAACAAAAGTCTTGGTCACCTGCCTGTCCCAGCAAAGGACATGATGAACATACAAGCGACGGAATACAGCGGGTTCAGCTGTTCTGAAGTTGCAAAGGCTCTGTTGTATTGCAACCTGCAACAACGATACATTATTTTGAGGATACTAGCAATAACAACAACAATGATAACATTAACTGCAATAGCAATAGTAATAGTGACGATAACAATAGTTGTAAACAACATATGGCAACCGTATGTGGCGTTTGTTCAACATTCCTGACATGGGAACTGTCTACCTTTCGCGGAAACGCGTATTCCTTCAGCGTCTTCTTTCGCGAAGCTTTTGCCGAGCCTATCTGCAGAATTTGCATTGCAATGCAGATATCAACTTTGAGACGGACGATAGGGGCTTGAGGTGTGGTTCGCGGTGTTGCTGTCGATTTTGGCTGCTGACGTCGTCTCTGACCAAGTTTCTGCGCAGCCTGGGCACGGCACTGTTGCCTCTTCACACGGGCCTGGAAACCCGCCCTGAACTGAGAGTTCTCCATTTCCCGTCCCGCTGAAAGATAGGGTGGGGGGGACTCCTACTCCTCCTCCTCCTCCTCTCCTACTCCTCCTACTCCTACTCCTCCTTACTACTATTACCACACTACTACTACTACTACTACTACTACTACTACTACTACTACTACTACTACTACTACTACTACTACTACTACTACTACTACTACTACTACTACTACTACTATACTACTACTACTACTACTACTACTACTACTACTACTACTACTACTACTACTACTACTACTACTACTACTACTACTACTACTACTACTACTACTACTACTACTACTACTACTACTACTACTACTACTACTACTACTACTACTACTACTACTACTACTACTACTACTACTACTACTACTACTACTACTACTACTACTACTACTTGTGAGCAGGTCTAAGCACGCACGTTCCATGTGCAGAGCTGCCAGAACCAGTACTGTAGTTTTCCTTTGCATGTGTAGTTTTGCAATTCGTAACAATGCCAATATTTTGGCTCAAGTACCGAGCTTGTGCCTTTGAGCACGGTAGAGTCGTACAGTAGCTCCTAGGTTGCTGTGCGGTCCGACCGGACGCACTCAGGCGTAGCTGCACAAGTGCTTGAACTCGCGAAGTCGTAAAACAGCGTGACCGGGCTGTGATTGCATTGGCTTAGTGCAAGTCCAGTGCTGGTCGACTTCACAATTGGGGGCTGTTCTGGGAAACGTACAGCTCTTGTGCCTACGGCCCGAGTGGGCAAGCATTGCTTTGCTTGTCTGTCGCGGTCCGTGACCTGGACGCGTGGACTGTGTGCCACGCTTGCGGCCTGTTAACCAAGGCGCGGCGCTTCGCGTGCCACGCCTGCGGCCTGCTAACCAAGGCGCGGCTTTTCGCCTTGTGTTGCGGCAATGTCCGCAGAGGTTGCAGGTCAGGCTGAGGGCGTCACCCTCCTCGAAGCTATCGAGGGTGGAGACGTTCCCTATCCCGAGCGGATGGGCTACGTCGCTTGGCTTAAGTGGCGTAGGGAGACTGGCAGCCGTCCGTTGTCCAAGCGGGATGGGGTCAGCACTACGCCAGAGCAAGAGGCGGCTCTCTGGCGGAAAGTCATGAAGTTCCTCCATGACGCCGAAGAGGAGGACGAGGATGAAGAGGAAGAAGAAGAGGACTCCGAGCTAGTCCCTGAGGCCTCGGGCGCTGGAGGCGACAGTCCGCCGCGGGTGGACGTCAGCCGCGGTTAGGGAGCTGGCCATGGTCCCTACCGGTGCTGCCTATGTCCCTGCTACGGCACCAGGGTCCCGCCCGGCGGGACCGTCCGGTCCGCCGTCGACAGCAGGTTCAGTGCCAGGCACCGCAGAGGGCTTGCAGGCGGAACTGCGCGCGATTTTCCGTCCAGACCAAGAACCGGTCGCGGACTACCTGACGCGCGTTTCGCGGATTGTCCTCGCGCTGAAAGCGCATGGAGTCACGGTGAGCTCCCGTGACCTTGACGCCTTAAGCACCAAAGCCACCCTCCTTGCGGATGAGTTCTCCAAGATAGGCGGGGACTGGCATCCTACGAAGATGGTCCGTCGGCTGCGGACCAGGTTCTCGGTCGCGGCTTTGCGCGGTGGCGAGGACCCCGAAGACGCAGAGGAGATTCAGCGCGAAATCCAATGCATCGGGGAGCTTATCCTCGCGTTAGGGGGAAAAGAAAGCTCGAGCCAAGAGAAGGTTTGGAGCTCCCCGTCCGATGTGCCAGTTGAAGCCGTGGGGCCGCGTTCCCCAGGGCTCCCACAGCCTGCGACTGCAAGTGGGTTGGGGGTAGGATTGGACCGTGGAGGTTTGGACACTGCTGAGGTTGCAGGTGGTCCTTCCGCGGCCCGTGTCCTGGGCGCGGCGGACGGCGATTCCCCTTTGCGCGCGAAGCTTGCTGCGCTAGAGATGGAGATAGAAGCCCTGAAGCGAGGTTCAGACGGCGGAGGTTCGCAGACCGGGTCCCAACACCCGGCGGGCGATCTCGCCGCCGCGCTCGCCGCCCAAACTGAGGCGCTGAAAGAAGCGTTAGCGCAGAGGGGCGGGCAAAGCTCCATAACTACGGTCAAAACTGACCTCACGTGGCCGACGCTGACCGACGACAAGTCGGACGCGCGAGACGTTGTCCTGTTCTACGAGGAGTTCGAGGACGTCTGCGCGCTGGCCAACAACTGTCGCGGTATGAGTGCGCGCGAAAAGCTGTTAGCGCTACGCGGGCGCTGCCGCGGCTCGCGCATGAAGACGTACACGAACGCGTACCGCGCAGCGTGGAAATCGGGAGAGGTTCTCTCAGATCCACAGGCGGTGTATGACCGCATCAAGAACAAACACTTGATGTTCGGGGAATCGCGGGAGGAAAGAGAAGTCCGCGTGGATGGTGAGCACGCCTCTCTCGCTAAGGGTAAGCTCACAGGCCACCAATTCGAGCCTTTGTTTGAGGCCTCGATCGCGGACCTTGAGGCAGTAGGTCTCGGGAAGACCCCTCGAGAGTTGTATCTCTCATACCTCCGCAAGATGCCCCCTTATCTCCAGAAGGAGATCCGGAACGACAAAAGGTTGTGGCCTGGCGACCCCAAGGATGGCGGGTTGCGAGGACCGCAGACTTGGGAGGAGAGCCACAAAGTCGTTCTGGAGTACGAGCAGAGAGAAGCAGCGCACAGGGCTGTTTCCCACTCTGTGTACACGGCCACCGGTTCGCAGAGCGCGGACCCGGCGGTCGCGCTGGCTGAGGCTCAGAAGGAGATTAAGAGTCTCAAGGCCGCTGCGAAGGCTGCTGCGAAAGGAGCAGCTGCCGCGGCCAAAGCTGGCGCGGACCAGACGTATGCTGCTACGTCGAAGGGAGCTGGCAAAGGAGCGGACAAGAAGATCTGCTTCCACTTTCGCGATCATGGGAATTGCCCGAAAGGGGATGCCTGCCCGTACAGCCACGACAAGGAGCTTCGCAGAAAAGCTCTCGCGGCCAAGAAGGGTGACCAAACCTTTGCCACTGCGAAAGGTAAGGGCAAAGGGAAGGGAGGTGGCAAAGCAAAAGCCAACGCAAAGCCTAAGGCTGCGGCCAAAGGCGCGGCAAAGCCACCAGGCACTGTTTGCCCCTTTTTCTCCAAGAATGGGTCGTGCAAGAAAGGAGCCAGCTGCGACATGGTCCACAACCTGACGACCTCAGGAGGGACGCCGGCCTTGCCTGCCAACTGGGCCCCGCCCTCCGGTGCTTCCATGTCTAACCCCTTCGCCGCGTTTAGTGTCCAGATAGGCAGCTCAGGCGTCCAGGCAGGCGTCTTAGGAGCCGCAGGACACGCCGCGGTGCAGCAGCACGCGCTTCCGTTAAGCAAGGGCGGGCGGGACAAGTTCGCCACCTTGGACGATCTGCCGAAGGACTGGTGGAACCTGGCGGATAACGAGCCAGGAGGCTACCAGTACAGAACGGTGGTTCAGGTCCTCGACCGCAAGGTCGAGTGCATGCTTGACGGTTGCGCCGGCGCAAACCACGTGACTGAGGAACTCGTGGTAGGCATGATGAACCGGGCTGCAGAGCTTGGGATCGGCACTGAGGATCCTGGCTTTCCGGTCGTGAGACTTGAGAAGTGGGTCCACCCCGAATATGTGCATGGCATAGCTTCGGGAGCCCCGGTTCCTCTGAAAGGGGCAGCAGTCTTGCGCGTCACGTTGCTGGAAGGCAAAACGGCGGACGATTGTCGCCCCAACACCGAGATTTTCGTGCGATGCAAAAATCGCTGCGAGAGGGACGTCCGATTGGCACGGACTTATCCTCGGCGGCAGAGCGCTGGACTGCGCCGGAAGGATGGGCTTGGGGTTCAGGCCGGGTCCCGACTTTCATGTCCTCGACACGCTGGGAATCAGGATGCCCAGATGTGAGGATCACAGTAGGACTCGGAAGGACAGGGCCTATGCCTTTGAAGCGCGGTTGTCAAGCCTGGACGACGCGTCATGCACCGAGCCTGGGGGCGGAAGTCGTGAGCTCCTCCGCTACGACGGGGAAGAGGCGCTCGAGCTCTCGCCAGGTGATGGGGTGCTGGTGCCGGTCGTGCGGGAGTCAGGAGTCTCCGCAGAGGGATCCCTGTCCGAGGTTGTGCTTCCGGTTGAATGTGGGGTTGAGGCTGTGCCAGGTCTCTGGCCGACAGGAGAGGGTAAAGGGTTTGTTTTGCTTGCAGCCCAAGAGTGTTACCACTCTCTCCAGCCAGGCGAGGTTGTTGCGGAAGTGCGTTCCGGCCTCGTCAGCACTGCGGCCTGTGGTTGTGGCGCGATTGAGACGGTGTT